CTACTCGTATTTGGCTGTCAATTTTTTTCTACACTTTTAGGAGTATTTTGTGCAAGAACATGCATTAAAATCGTCTGCCTAAGAAAGATTAAATTTTTTTTGGAACTTTTTTATTTTTTTAGATTTTTGGATTGGATGAGTTTTTGGTGGTAATAGGTGTCTTCCTCTACTCGTATTTGGCTGTCAATTTTTTTCTACACTTTTAGGAGTATTTTGTGCAAGAACATGCATTAAAATCGTCTGCCTAAGAAAAATTAAATTTTTTTGGGAACTTTTTTATTTTTTTAGATTTTTGGGTTGGATGAGTTTTTGGTGGTAATAGGTGTCTTCCTCTACTCGGATTTGGCTGTCAATTTTTTTCTACACTTTTAGGAGTATTTTGTGCAAGATTATGCATTAAAATCGTCTGCCTAAGAAAAATTAAATGTTTTTGGGAACTTTTTCATTTTTTTGGATTTTTGGGTTGGATGATTTTTTGGTGGTAATAGGTGTCTTCCTCTACTCGTATTTCGCTGTCAATTTTTTTCTACACTTTTAGGAGTATTTTGTGCAAGAATATGCATTAAAATCGTGTGCCTAAGAAAAATTAAATTTTTTTTGGAACTTTTTCATTTTTTTGGATTTTTGGGTTGGATGAGTTTTTGGTGGTAATAGGTGTCTTCCTCTACTCGTATTTGGCTGTCAATTTTTTTCTACACTTTTAGGAGTATTTTGTGCAAGAACATGCATTAAAATCGTCTGCCTAAGAAAGATTAAATTTTTTTTGGAACTTTTTTATTTTTTTAGATTTTTGGGTTGGATGAGTTTTTGGTGGTAATAGGTGTCTTCCTCTACTCGTATTTGACTGTCAATTTTTTTCTACACTTTTAGGAGTATTTTGTGCAAGATTATGCATTAAAATCGTCTGCCTAAGAAAAATTAAATGTTTTTGGGAACTTTTTCATTTTTTTGGATTTTTGGGTTGGATGAGTTTTTGGTGGTAATAGGTGTCTTCCTCTACTCGTATTTCGCTGACTATTTTTTTCTACACTTTTAGGAGTATTTTGTGCAAGAATATGCATTAAAATCGTCTGCCTAAGAAAAATTAAATGTTTTTGGGAACTTTTTCATTTTTTTGGATTTTTGGGTTGGATGAGTTTTTGGTGGTAATAGGTGTCTTCCTCTACTCGTATTTCGCTGACAATGTTTTTCTACACTTTTAGGAGTATTTTGTGCAAGAATATGCATTAAAATCGTCTGCCTAAGAAAAATTAAATGTTTTTGGGAACTTTTTCATTTTTTTGGATTTTTGGGTTGGATGAGTTTTTGGTGGTAATAGGTGTCTTCCTCTACTCGTATTTGGCTGTCAATTTTTTTCTACACTTTTAGGAGTATTTTGTGCAAGAATATGCATTAAAATCGTGTGCCTAAGAAAAATTAAATTTTTTTTGGAACTTTTTTATTTTTTCGGACTTTTGGGTTGAATGAGTTTTTGGTGGTAATAGGTGTCTTCCTCTACTCGTATTTGGCTGTCAATTTTTTTCTACACTTTTAGGAGTATTTTGTGCAAGAACATGCATTAAAATCGTCTGCCTAAGAAAGATTAAATTTTTTTTGGAACTTTTTTATTTTTTTAGATTTTTGGGTTGGATGAGTTTTTGGTGGTAATAGGTGTCTTCCTCTACTCGTATTTGACTGTCAATTTTTTTCTACACTTTTAGGAGTATTTTGTGCAAGATTATGCATTAAAATCGTCTGCCTAAGAAAGATTAAATATTTTTTGGAACTTTTTTATTTTTTTGGATTTTTGGGTTGGATGAGTTTTTGGTGGTAATAGGTGTCTTCCTCTACTCGTATTTGGCTGTCAATTTTTTTCTACACTTTTAGGAGTATTTTGTGCAAGAATATGCATTAAAATCGTGTGCCTAAGAAAAATTAAATTTTTTTTGGAACTTTTTTATTTTTTCGGACTTTTGGGTTGAATGAGTTTTTGGTGGTAATAGGTGTCTTCCTCTACTCGTATTTGGCTGTCAATTTTTTTCTACACTTTTAGGAGTATTTTGTGCAAGATTATGCATTAAAATCGTCTGCCTAAGAAAAATTAAATGTTTTTGGGAACTTTTTCATTTTTTTGGATTTTTGGGTTGGATGAGTTTTTGGTGGTAATAGGTGTCTTCCTCTACTCGTATTTGGCTGTCAATTTTTTTCTACACTTTTAGGAGTATTTTGTGCAAGAACATGCATTAAAATCGTCTGCCTAAGAAAGATTAAATATTTTTTGGAACTTTTTTATTTTTTTGGATTTTTGGGTTGGATGAGTTTTTGGTGGTAATAGGTGTCTTCCTCTACTCGTATTTGGCTGTCAATTTTTTTCTACACTTTTAGGAGTATTTTGTGCAAGAACATGCATTAAAATCGTCTGCCTAAGAAAGATTAAATATTTTTTGGAACATTTTTATTTTTTTGGATTTTTGGGTTGGATGAGTTTTTGGTGGTAATAGGTGTCTTCCTCTACTCGTATTTCGCTGACAATTTTTTTCTACACTTTTAGGAGTATTTTGTGCAAGAATATGCATTAAAATCGTCTGCCTAAGAAAAATTAAATTTTTTTGGGAACTTTTTTATTTTTTCGGACTTTTGGGTTGGATGAGTTTTTGGTGGTAATAGGTGTCTTCCTCTACTCGTATTTGGCTGTTAATTTTTTTCTACACTTTTAGGAGTATTTTGTGCAAGAATATGCATTAAAATCGTCTGGCTAAGAAAAATTAAATGTTTTTGGGAACTTTTTCATTTTTTTGGATTTTTGGGTTGGATGAGTTTTTGGTGGTAATAGGTGTCTTCCTCTACTCGTATTTGGCTGTCAATTTTTTTCTACACTTTTAGGAGTATTTTGTGCAAGATTATGCATTAAAATCGTCTGCCTAAGAAAAATTAAATGTTTTTGGGAACTTTTTTATTTTTTCGGACTTTTGGGTTGAATGAGTTTTTGGTGGTAATAGGTGTCTTCCTCTACTCGTATTTGGCTGTCAATTTTTTTCTACACTTTTAGGAGTATTTTGTGCAAGATTATGCATTAAAATCGTCTGCCTAAGAAAAATTAAATGTTTTTGGGAACTTTTTCATTTTTTTGGATTTTTGGGTTGGATGAGTTTTTGGTGGTAATAGGTGTCTTCCTCTACTCGTATTTGGCTGTCAATTTTTTTCTACACTTTTAGGAGTATTTTGTGCAAGAACATGCATTAAAATCGTCTGCCTAAGAAAGATTAAATTTTTTTTGGAACTTTTTTATTTTTTTAGATTTTTGGGTTGGATGAGTTTTTGGTGGTAATAGGTGTCTTCCTCTACTCGTATTTGACTGTCAATTTTTTTCTACACTTTTAGGAGTATTTTGTGCAAGATTATGCATTAAAATCGTCTGCCTAAGAAAAATTAAATTTTTTTGGGAACTTTTTTATTTTTTGGGATTTTTGGGTTGGATGAGTTTTTGGTGGTAATAGGTGTCTTCCTCTACTCGGATTTGGCTGTCAATTTTTTTCTACACTTTTAGGAGTATTTTGTGCAAGATTATGCATTAAAATCGTCTGCCTAAGAAAAATTAAATGTTTTTGGGAACTTTTTCATTTTTTTGGATTTTTGGGTTGGATGATTTTTTGGTGGTAATAGGTGTCTTCCTCTACTCGTATTTCGCTGTCAATTTTTTTCTACACTTTTAGGAGTATTTTGTGCAAGAATATGCATTAAAATCGTGTGCCTAAGAAAAATTAAATTTTTTTGGGAACTTTTTTATTTTTTGGGATTTTTGGGTTGGATGAGTTTTTGGTGGTAATAGGTGTCTTCCTCTACTCGTATTTGGCTGTCAATTTTTTTCTACACTTTTAGGAGTATTTTGTGCAAGAATATGCATTAAAATCGTGTGCCTAAGAAAAATTAAATTTTTTTGGGAACTTTTTCAATTTTTTGGATTTTTGGGTTGGATGAGTTTTTGGTGGTAATAGGTGTCTTCCTCTACTCGTATTTGGCTGTCAATTTTTTTCTACACTTTTAGGAGTATTTTGTGCAAGATTATGCATTAAAATCGTCTGCCTAAGAAAAATTAAATTTTTTTTGGAACTTTTTTATTTTTTTTGATTTTTGGGTTGGATGAGTTTTTGGTGGTAATAGGTGAAACTAAAACCAAGTTATCATCTCTAAGTATTAATTAGAAAAAAATTTATGTTAATAACATAAATAAATAATGATAATAATAATAAATTTTAATAACTTTATTCAAATAACATAATTTTTTTCAAAATTAATTTGGGACTGATAACTATACCAGTTTCATTAAAATTAATGCTATAAAAATATTTTTAAAAATTTTATATAACAAATGCATAACTTTCGTCGAGTGGCTTTTGTTTACCTTTCCTTAATATTATGTAATAAACAATGAATTTTCCTTAAATATTTGTTTTCCGCTTATTTTTAATGAAGTTACAAAAATATATATATATTTTAAGAAACTGTTTCGAACTCTGATCTAGTTAAAAAAATTTACATTTCCTTTTTTGTTTTTTTTTGTTTTCTTTTTTTTATATAAAAAAAAAGGACAACCAATAAGAATATATTTAAACTTTGATCCTGATATATAGAACAATAATAAAAAATAAATTATCAACAAAATGATACAAATTAATTAATAAGATGGAAAAAGTTGTTGATCAGGAACTCAAATTATCTTTGTTAAAATATTTTGCATTAAATTTTAATATTTTAACAATAATACATGTTTTTTTTTTTTTTAAAATTTGTGATTCAATTTAATTTACTCCGCGCAAATATAAAACGACAGTGCAGTTTAAAATTTTTCTTCTTCTATCAAAGTACATACATACTTCAAGTTGGAAGAGAAAAATCGATACAATTCGAAATAATTTCAAAAATTAAATTAAATTTAATAAATTTTTGAAAAACAATTCAATAAAAAATATTCATTTAAATTAAATATTTATATTTTTTTTAATCAAATAAAATATAATAATAATAATAATAATAATAATAATCCATAATGGAATCAAAAATGACAGGAGATGAAATAGTGATTTCGGGAATATCGGGTAAATTTCCAAATTGTGAAAGTATCAATGAATTGCAGATGAATCTTTTTAAAAAAATCGATTGCGTTAGTGACAGTAAATCACGTTGGAACTATGGTATGATGAAATTTTGTTTTCTTTTAAAATTATGAATTATTTTTAATTTGGAAACAAAATAAGAATGAATAAAGGGAAATATAAGTATGCTGCAAAAATTTGTATTTTTTTTACAGAGCATCCAAACATTCCACCGCGAATTGGCGTTATGAAACAAATCGATGAATTTGACGCAATATTTTTTGGAATTAATGGAAAATTGGTAAATTATATGGATCCAATGTTTAGATTAATAACTGAAAATACATATGAGGCAATTGTTGATGCTGGAATTAATCCAGGAAGTTTAAAAAAATGTAAAACTGCCGTTTTTACTGGTAGTGCTTTTTCAGAATCGGAAAAAGGTTTCTTTTTTTGTAAAAAGGACGTGAGTTTTTTTTTATATTTAATTATTGTGAATTAAATATTAATTAATTTTTTTTTTAAATATATTTTTCCTATATATCAATACTAGAGAAAAATATGATATAGAATCAATATTGTATTTCTGATAAAGGTATAAAAATTATTGATTCAAAAGCATATATGCTATAGAATCAATAATTTTTATACCTTTAGCAGAAATACTATATTGATTTAATAGAATATTTCTCTCAGTGAATTATAAAATTTCATTTTCAGAACAATGGATTTGGTATGTTGGGTGCCGGTCGTACAATGTTGGCAAATCGAGTTTCATTTTTTTTCGATTTAGTTGGACCAAGTGGAAATATTGATTCCAGCTGTTGTGGAGGTGCAACTGCCTTAGAAGAGGGTTTTAAAGCAATAAAAGATGGACGAGCCGAAAATGCAATTATCGGTGCTACTAATGTTGTTCTACATCCACAAATGTCGATGAATCTATTTTTGCTAGGTATAGTATTTAAATGATCAATTTTTGCTTTAGATCCAAAATCATTCAAAAATTTTTTTTTTAATTTTCTGTAAATTTTTTAGGACTTCTATCACCAGACGGTGTAACAAAATCATTTGACAATGCAGCGGATGGTTATACACGCAGTGAAGGTGTTGTTGTTCTATTTCTACAAAAGGCACGTGACGCAAAACGTATTTATGCAGAAATTAAAAATTGCCGTTACAATTATGGTGATGTCAACGATTCGCATTCATTTTTCTACCCCACTTATCAATTTCAAACTAATTTTATGAAATCAGTACTAAAAGAATGTGGACTTAAAGGAAATGATATTTCCTACATTGAAGCTGATGGTTCAGGTATCAAAGATGTTGATGCCAATGAGATAATGGCAATTGACAATGTCTACAATCAGGAATTACGAAAATCACCTCTACTTATTGGATCAATTAAATCTAATATTGGTTCAAGTTCAGCAGTAAATCCCCTCAATGGAATTATTAAGGTTAATTTCTTTTTTTTCGGTTTTTAAAATCTTTTCCTAATTAGGAAATTTTCTATAGGTAATTATAGCAATGGAGACGGGGTATATTCCTCCGAATTTGCATTTTCAAAAATCTTCAATTCCTGCTGTTCAAGAAGGTCGATGTAAAGTTGTCACGGAATCGACACCATGGTCTGATGACTATGCGGTGGTTAATAGTCTCGCTTTAACTGGTTCCAGTGCCAATATTGTGTTGAAAAAATACAAGAAAGAAAAGAAAAATCAAGGAAAACCTGATGACAATCTTTTGCGATTGGTCACAGTTTCCGGATGTACAAAAGAAGCAGTTGATGTAATATTGAGTCACGTAAGTATCAAATTTTTATATAGTTTAGCAAAGTTAAAATTATATAAATAATCTAAAAATTACCATTTGCAGCTAGAAAACAGGGAAGTTGACGTAGAAATGCTTCAGCTTTTGTATGATGTATTTGAAAAACCAGTTCGTGGTCATTTATATCGTGGCTATACTGTTCTACCTTTGGAAGGATTACAAAAAACTAAAATACAAGGTATTGAATTAACTTCCGGTATTAAGAAAGAAATTTGGTACATGTTCTCCGGTATGGGATCTCAATGGATTGGAATGGGTAAGTTGGCAAAATAATTTTGATTTTCTGATTTTGCATTTCCGCAGTATTTTTTAAATTCCAACAGGAAAAGACTTATTGCAAATACCAATTTTCGCTGAATCGATAAATAAATGCAATAAAGTTCTACAACCTCGTGGTATCGATATTCTAAAAATTATCACAGAAAACGATTCAAAAATGTTTGATAACATTGTTAATTCATTCGTTGGTATTGCTGCGATCCAGGTAATAAACTAATTTTCACGATTCTATAGAACTAGAGCTATAAAATGCAATTTTTCAGATTGGTTTAGTTGATCTTCTAACAGCAATTGGATTAAAACCAGATTTTCTAATTGGACATTCAGTGGGTGAATTGGGTTGTGCCTATGCCGATGGAAGTTTTACTGCCGAGCAAATGATTCTTTCGGCATTAAGCAGAGGATTGGCGTCAATAGAAACAGAAATGCCCAAAGGTTCAATGGCGGCAGTTGGTCTTGGTTATGAAGAAATCAAACACATATGTCCATCTGATATTGATGTTGCTTGTCATAATAGTGAAAATAATTGTACAATCAGTGGTCCTGCGGATTCAATGCGAGCATTTGTCGCAGATTTAAAAGTTAGAAAATTTTAAAGAAAGCAAAACGAATGTAAAAACTCAAACGAATCTATAACGGAAATTTTATTTACAGGGGAAAAATATTTTTGCAAAAGAAGTCGCTTGTAGTGATATAGCCTATCATAGTCGATATATAGCAGCGGCAGGTGAAAAATTGAGAAAATATCTTCTCCAAGTGATACCCAATCCAAAACCACGAAGTCAACGTTGGATAAGTAGTTCAGTACCTCGAAATATGTGGAATTCGGCGCGAGCTCGATTATCATCAGCAGATTATCATACAAATAATCTTTTAAATTCAGTTCTTTTTGCCGAAACAGCAAAAATAATACCATCAAACGCAATTGTTATTGAAATAGCACCACACGGTCTTCTACAGGCTATTGTTCGAAAATCATTACCAGAAACAGTTATTAATATACCATTAACTAAAAAATATCAAAATTGTGTTTCATTTCTTTTTGAAGCATTGGGAAAACTCTATAATTCTGGTTGTGATATTAATATATCGAATCTTTATCCAAAAATAACTTATCCAGTTTCTCAAGGAACACCTTCAATTTCATCATTAATCCGTTGGGATAATTCAGCTAAATGGTAAAATTTTTTCCTGTTTCTTTTTTCTTTTGAATCTATTTATTTTAATTTTTGACAAAAAATAGGCAGACGCAATTTTTTAAACAAGAGGAAAAAATAAAAACAGGAGAATTGAGTTTTATAATAAATCTCAATGATGAAAAATGGAAATATTTGAAGTATGGTAAAATTAATAAAAGAATCGTTTTTCATACTTCCGTCTATTTAAATTTAGTTTGGGAAGTTTTAAAATCGTTGAAAAATTCCGAATCAGTTATTTATCATAATGTACAAATTCATCAGCATTTGGTAGAAATTCCGGATGATGAAAATATCATTCTAATTGTAATGGTGCAAAAAGGTAAATTTTGCATTTATATTCTAATTTTTTTCATTTTTTTTTCATTGTTACCTTTTTTTTCTAGCCAGTGGAATGTTTGAAGTAACCAATAACAATATTTTACTATGCTCTGGAATTATACAATCAAACGATCATCCTCAATTTAATAAAATTCCTAAATTTCTAAATTCTAATCAACTAAGTGAAAATGATATTTATTCTGAACTCAAATCACGTGGTTTACAGTATTCAGAAGCGTTTAAAACAATTTTAAAAGCATCAAACAATAGTGGAATTTTAATATGGAAAAATTGGACAACTTTTATTGAAGGAATGATTCAGATTTTTATTCTAACAAGTGATGTTAGAAGTACACAAGTACCAATTAAAATTAGAAAAATTGTTATTAACAAACATCAAACGCTAAACACAAGAGGTAAATTCCGTTTTTACTTTTTTAGGGTTCCGTTACTTACTAGGGCAACAGTTACTATGAAAAACGTTACTATGGCAATAGTTACTATGGCAATTGTTACTATGGCAATAGTTGATTTCCATAGCAACCATAGCAATTCACAAATAATGCAATTATAAATTATTTATTATATTCAAATAACTTTTGATCTGAATTTAAAAAGTCACGAAAATAATTGATTTCGTTTTTTAGAATTTCCTGTAGAAGTTTGTCAGAGTAGAAAAAGTGTAAATGCAGGCATTATACAAATGGAAGGAATTGTACTAAAATCCCTTCGGCGGCAAGTTGGAAAAAATATTGTAGTTGAAAAAATTATTCCCTGTACAGATGAATTTAGATCTAATTTAAATTTAAAAATAAAACCAAATAAAATTTGCGGAATGTATCAATATTTTCCACTAGATTCAAATTTACAAAAAGTCTCCAATTGGACAGCCAAACAAAATGATTCTCAACTTGAATGGATTGAAGATTTATCTATTGCAAATACTAAAAATAAAATCAGAGTCGAGTACTCTGGGATTAGTCAACAAGATATCATTTTAGGAACTTCGGAAACAAAAAATGAAAATTTTGGTCAATATTCTGGAATTGACAACAAAAACACTAGAATTATGGGAATCAGTACAAAATCTTCATTATCAAATTTTACAATATCTGATGATGATTTCAAGTGGAAAATACCGGAAAATTGGTCATTAGAAGATGGTGCCACTGTACCATTACCCTATACAATTGCATATCTTTCCATTATTCTAAAAGGAGAATTAGAAAAGGAAAAATCAATTTTCATTTTCAATGGTACTTGTTCAATAGGACAGGCTGCTATTAATTTAGCATTAAACATTAAATCTCAAATATTCGCAGGATATGCTAATTGTAATGGTAAAAAATTTTTAGAAAACAATTATAATGTTCAAACAATAAACATCGGTGGTAGTTTTCCAGAACAAATTATATCACTACAAAAAGGAAAAGGCATTGATTTGATAATATATAATGGAAATGATTTAAATAAATTTGAAAATTGTTGCAAATTTGTTAATAAAAAGGGAAAAATTATTATTATTGGAAATTTACAAGATGCATATAATAAATCAATGGGTATGTTAATTTATGACGATTGTGTTAAAATATTGTCAATAATTCCGAGAAAATTATTGAATCTCGATGTGGAAATAAAAAGAAATTTATCAGAAATACTTCAAAATGGCATTGACACAGGAATAGTAAAACCATTACCAAAACGTGTTTACACGAGAGAAATGTTGGGAAAAGCATTTACTGACTCGGAAACTTCAATTGAAAAAGTAATTTCTATAAATTGAAAAATATATTTTAAGCAATTTAATTTTCTTTTTAATTTTCATTTTTGTTTTCAGATCATTGTGAAAGTACAATCGGAAAATGAAAACAAAGCCCTAGCGATACCTCGTTTTATTTGTAAAAATGAAGCATCATATTTAATAATTGAAGGTTTGAGTAACTTTGGATTAGAATTGGGTGAATTTTTAGTTTCCAGAGGTGCTAAAAATATTATCATTTTATCTGAATCAAAAAATACAAGAGCTTACAGTAATTATCGAATAAATTTATGGACAAAATCTGGAGTTTCAGTGAGAGTTGATGATGAATTTAATTTTTCTAATCGACAAAGTGTTAATGAAATTTTTAAAAATTCACAAAAAATAGATGCTATTTTTGATCTTCAACAAATTGAAAATCTATCAAATTGTTCAAAATTTTCATTTAAAAAATTTCCATATGAAGAATTGAATAATTTATCTAGTAATTTAGAAAAATTGACAATTTTTTCAACATGTAAAAATAGTGAGGATAATGTTGATCAAATTCTATTGGAAGAAATAAAGTTGGTGGAAATTTTTCAAAAAAAATCGAAAGAAACAAAATTTCCAGGACTTTTGATTCTATTGGGACCAATTGAGGGAATTGCAAAATGTACAAATGAAAATGAAACAAAACCTTTACTGTCTATTGCGGATATTATGGAACAAATGGATAAAATACTTAGAGAAAATGCTTCTATTGTATCAGTTTCATGTAAATTGGAAAAAAGAAAAGAAATTGTTGATACTGAAAATGAGGTGAGAAACTGAATTTTTTTTATATATATATATAAAGGGGATTTCACGTGAAATTTATCTGTGGCATTTTAAATTCGGTAAATGTATTTTTTTTCTATAAAGATTGAAAAAAAATATTTAACAAATTTAAAATGGTAAAATTTGAATTTAAATAACAGGAGTAAAATTTGATATTTTTTTTAGGTAATCGTAGAGAAAACAGAGGAGCAAAAATTCCTCCAGTATATTACAAAAGTTCAACGATCAACACCAAAGTCTTATAAATATGAAGTTGAACAAGAAGATGAATATTAAAATAACTTGTAAAACTATTTATTATATTTATTCTAAACTAGCGATGTATTCCTCGCTCGCTAACGCTCGCTCGGTTAAAATTGTACTTATTGTTGTTTACTTATTGTAGTTTATGTATATTATATTTATAATTTATGTTTTAAATTAATATCTTATTAATATTGTATAAAATTTATCTTAAAATTGAAAAAAGATGTTACATAAAAATAGTTTGTAAGATTTTCCAAAAGCATATATGCAAAGTATTTTGATTTATTTGAAAATAATTGAAAATAGATTTTTCAAGGACGGTGTCGAGGTCACGGGGTCGGTGTCGTTTTTCGAAATTTGTTAACTTAATATAATAGAAGATGTTTCGTTTTAAATTAAGAAATGTTAAAATTATTAAGTTAAAAACATTTGATTTTAATGACACTTAAAATTGGACACAATATTATAGGTTATACTAACTAAAAATTGAAAAAACAACAATAAATAATAAAAAATAATAATAAAAAATTGAAAAAATCAAAAAATTCTTAAAAATTGCAAAATAACCCTTTTTCGGGTTAAAATTGAAAAAAGATGTTACATAAAAATAGTTTGTAAGATTTTCTAAAAGCATATATGCAAAGTATTTTGATTTATTTGAAAATAATTGAAAATAGATTTTTCAAGGACGGTGTCGAGGTCACGGGGTCGGTGTCGTTTTTCGAAATTTGTTAACGTAATATAATAGAAAATGTTTCGTTTTAAATTAAGAAATGTTAAAATTATTAAGTTAAAAACATTTGATTTTAATGACACTTAAAATTGGACACAATATTATAGGTTATACTAACTAAAAATTGAAAAACCAACAATAAATAATAAAAAATAATAATAAAAAATTGAAAAAATCAAAAAATTCTTAAAAAATTGCAAAATAACCCTTTTTCGGGTTAAAATTGAAAAATAACCCTTTTCCGGGTTAAAATTGAAAAAAGATGTTACATAAAAATAGTTTGTAAGATTTTCTAAAAGCATATATGCAAAGTATTTTGATTTATTTGAAAATAATTGAAAATAGATTTTTCAAGGACGGTGTCGAGGTCACGGGGTCGGTGTCGTTTTTCGAAATTTGTTAACTTAATATAATAGAAGATAATATAACCGATATAATGTAATAGTTTAGTAATAGAGTAATTTTCAATATTAAAAAACCAAAATTCATTTCCAAAAAAATCCCTTATTTGTAAAAAAAACCCCTATATTTCGCAAAAATACAGTTTGAGGTTATGTTTATCAATTAAAATATCAAAAAAATATAAATTTAGAAACTCAATTAATTTCCAAACGTAAAAAACATTTGTTGGCCCTGAAAAGGGACGATTTAGGGTTTTTTTTTTTTTTTTTGATGTTAGAATCTATTTGGAGCTGGCCCTGACGGATTTGATTTACCTAAATTCGACCCAGCTGAGTCGAATCTAAGTCGAATTTAGGTAATTATCAAAAAAAGCTTTAAATTGATGAAAATTTATAAAAATTAGTATTGTGAGGTTAAATGAACATTTATAGAGTTAATTTTTGTAAGAATTTTAATTATTAACGTGATAAATAATAAATAATCACTTGATATGTGCAAGTGGTAACTGTATAGGGACCCTAAGGCATATAAAATAGGGAATTTTAATTTTCAATCCTAGGGAAGTTTCTTTAATTCTCCATTATTTACAGACGGTAACTATACATTCAACAGATAATTTTTTTTTTATTATCAACTAATTAGTATATTTTATTTTTAGGTTAGGTTTCGTATCTAAAAATAAAGTAATAGAATATTTGTGTTGATATGTTTTAATTTCGAAAATTATATTAAAAAAAATGGACATTTTTCGCTATCGGAAATTTTTCATTTATATTTTAACATTTCTCGCGTACGCTTGGTCTGGATATGGTGCGGGTCTTTTGTCAAATTTACGAGACGCTGTATTAGCAACGGAATCAATATTTGAGGATTTTTTTCAAAATGCCATAACTGTGGCACGAAAAATTAAAGACATTCACGAAGTTTTTGACGCAGCTGTTGAGGAATCTTGTGTATTTCAATGTCCAACAGGTATATGACAAAACTGCTATTTTTATTATGACACAATATTAAATTTTTTTTTTTTTTTTTTAAATACAAATAATTATTAATGACTATTAGATTTTTTTAAAATAAATTTTTAATTTAAAAATTTTTTCTAATTTTATAATATATGAATAATTATAATATTTGTTGGGAGAAATTAACAAAAGTTATAATGTTTTGTATATATATTGAAAAGATGATAAAAATAAATTAAAGTACAATTCACTTTGTCGAGTTTTGATGACGAAATTTTCTGATTGGCTGATAGTATTTATAAATAGCCAATCGGATTTATTAATTTTGCTTCTAGCTACTTTCAGAGTGGTAGATGTAAAAAAAAACGTAATACAGCGTGTAAAAATAACGTTCGCTGATTGGTTGTAAACTAAATAACGCGGGATTTTTAAATTTCAGGAATTTCTCCAAAACCCGATAGGAATCATATTCCTCAAAGTGACGGATGCGGATCACTGGGAATAGAGGTAATTTAACGAAGCTGAAATACACAACGTTTATGATAAACGATTTTTAAAGAAAAAATATTTTAAACTAAAAAATTGTATAATTTTTTGCCTAAGAAATATTTTTTTTCTAATTTGTTGATTAATGAAAACTACAAGAAATATATATTTTTTTTTTAAATTATACAATTTTTTAGTTTAAAATATTCTTTTTCTTTAAAATTAGTTAGAATTTTGATTCGAAAGAATTTTATTAGATATAATTAATTTTTTGGACGAATTTTCAATTTTTCGAATTAGAATTTGACACAATTTCTCTTTAAACGAATTTATAATGTCCAAAATTTGTTAAAACGCCGAATTTTTATTTGTTTGAAATTGCAAATGGCCGAACAATCAATTTTGGCGCGTTTTTTTAAAATTGATCAATCACGATTTTCTTGGACAATTTCTGATTGGTCAATTTTAAAAAATGCGCCAAAATTGATTGTTCGGCCATTTGCAATTTTGGATAAATAAAAATTCGGCGTTTTAACAATTTTGGACATTAAAAATTCGTTTAAAGAGAAATTTTGTCAAATTCTAATTCGAAAAATTGAAAATTCGTCTAAAAAATTAATTATATCTAATAAAATTCTTTCAAATCAAAATTCTAACTAAATGATATTCGATTATTATTCATTTTATAATCGATTATTTGATTGTTATTCAATTTATAATTGGTTATTCGATTGTTATTCAATTTATAATCGATTATTCGATTGTTATTCAATTTATAATCGATTATTCGATTGTTATTCATTATCGATTATTCGATCTTTATTCAATTTATAATCGATTTTTCGATTGTTATTGAATTTATAATCGATTATTCGCGAGTATTAATCGATTTTCTTCAATCAACTAATTAATTTTACTTGATACAAAAATTCGATATTTTTTTTTTTCTAAAAAAAAAAAATTTTTTTTTTTAATTTCCAGATTAGTCAAGAATATCTTCCTCTAACGGAAATGACAAAATGTTGTGATTCCCACGATATTTGTTATGACACATGCAATTCGGATAAGGAAAAATGTGACTTAGATTTTAAACGTTGTTTATATAAATATTGTGAGGGTTATGAATCAACGGGTACATCAATTGTAAATACATGTAAAGCAGCAGCAAAAATGCTTTATACCGGTACAACAACGCTTGGTTGTAAAAGTTATATGGATGCACAAAAAAATGCCTGCTTTTGCGGCGATACAAAATGGAGTCAAAATAACAATAATAATAATAATAATAATAATAATAGAAAAAAACCAAAAAAAGCCGCACACACTGGTGGCGAATTATAAAATTTCATCTTCTCTATACTTGTTATTTGTGTGTGTGTGTGTATTTCTTTTGTAATTTTATCTATTATATATATTTTACATTTATTATTAGAAAAAAATGTAAATATTTTTGTATAATAATAATAATAATATTATATTATTTAAATTATTTCACGTTTGTATAAGATAATAATAAAGAGTATTTTTTTGTACATATAAAAAAATAGACAATAAGAAAATATTTTTAAACAAATTTTCTAAGTTATATCAAATTATTATTTTTATTATTATTTATTATTTTTATTTATAATAATGATTTTTACACATTAATTTGTATTAATTATTTTTGTATTCATTTTCAATAGAAATAATTTTTTACAAATAATAATAATAATATAATAATAATAATTATTATTATTATTATTATTTTTACATACTTAAGTAGATTAAGTAAATTAATATTTTTTTATTAGGAAGCAATATAATTAACAAATAAAAAAAATTCAATAGTGAATATTTTTTTATTGCTTTATTAAAGCGCGCTTTTTTTCGGCCTATAAGAGAATTGTCGTAGCGCAAGCGCAATAGCGTTTAGGTAGGGTCATTGTCTGCGCCGCGGGAAACAGAAAGATATTAAGGTTCGTTCATATTTCTTTGCAATATTTTGCAAAAATTTTGAATTGAAAATTGTCAATAAAATTCGCGGTTATATTTACATTATATGAAATTAAAATTTGTACTATTTTGTTTTTTGTTTTGACATTATTTTTTGTTTATATTAACAGAATAATGACATTGAATATTTAAACAAAAAAATTAACTTTTTTTGTTATTTATTTTAAAAAAAAATATGACTGCGCGTATTTGTCAACAGGGTAAGAAAGTAATTTAAAAAAGAAAAAAAAATTTCTTAATAATAATATTAAAAACAATGTTTATTTATCAATCAATTGGAAATACTTTGGAATTACCTTATTTTTTTAGGTTAGTAATTATATTTATTTAATCAAATAAATATTAAAAATTATTATAAAAATAATAATAATAATTATTATTATTATTATAATTATAATTAATTATAATTAATTATCATTTATAATTTTTATTATTGTTATTATTAATATTATTATAAAAATATTAATAATAATAATAATAATAAATTTCAAAATAATTATTAATAGTTGGGCATTAATTATTTATAAATAAACAAAATAATTAATTATTAAAAAAAATAAATTTTCTAATATAATTTTAATTTAATTAATTATTAATAAATTTTTAGAGACAATTTATTTATTTATTTATTTTTTTTTTGTAATAATTTATTTTTCAGTTTTCGAACAATATCAAAAAGCGAGAATTCAATTTATACAAAGTGTCAGCGATTTAGCCGTTAAATCATACAATGTTGAAAGTTTGATAAAATTTGGAATTTTAGAAATTATTTCACCATTAATTAATGATATTGTACCGACAATTAGTCAAACTGCTTTAATGACATTGGGACGATTAGCTGGTCATGATGAGAGAATTGCACAATTAATTTTAAAAAAAGATGTATTGTCGTGTATTGTAAAAAATTTTAAAAAACAAAATGTAGGTAAAAAAAAAAACTATAAAATAAAATAAATAATAATAAAATAAAATTTTTTTTTTTCATCGCAATTTTAAAAATTTATTATTATTATTATTATTATTTATTTTGAATAAATTGAAATATATAAAATTTTTTTCTTTTTTTAATATATATTTGTAGAAATTTTACAAAAAAGCTGCCCTCTTTCTTCTACGTTCAATAGCAAAACATTCATCTGAATTGTCAACAATTGTCATCAATGAAGATGGATTAATTGCAATAATGTTTGGATTAGAAGATTTTGATTCAGGTGTTAAAGAATCGGCCGCCTGGGCTATTGGTTATATTGCAAGACACAATAAAAATTTAGCGCAAACTGTTGTCGACGCTGGTAATAAACAAAAAATAATAATAGTAAACAAAAATAATAATAATAATAATAGTAATAATAATAATTATAATAATAATAATAACTTTTACACTATAATTAAAAATATGCAATTAGGAAACAATTTCAAAGTAATTTATCTAATGTTTCAAAAACCTGCAGTAATACGTTTATACACGTTAGAACCTCTTTTGAACAAGTTGAAACTACTTTCGAACTGATTAGAACACGTTAAAACTACTTTTCAACTGATTTGAACAACTTTGAACAAGTTGAAACTTCTTCCGCACTAATTTGAACAAGTTGAAACTACTTTTAAACTGATTTTAACAACTTTGAACAATTCAGAATTATTTATAAACTAATTTAAACAAGTTAAAACTACTTCCAAACTGATTCGAAAAAGTTAAAACTACTTTCAGACTGCTTTGAACAAGTTGAAACTACTTTCGAACTGATTAGAACACGTTAAAACTACTTTTCAACTGATTTATACAACTTTGAACAAGTTGAAACTTCTTCCGCACTAAATTGAACAAGTTGAAACTACTTCCAAACTGATTCGAAAAAGTTAAAACAACTTTCAGACTGCTTTGAACAAGTTGAAACTACTTTTAAACTGATTTTAACAACTTTGAACAAGTTGAAACTTCATTTGCACTAATTTGAACAAGTTGAAACTACTTTTAAGCTGATTGTAACAACTTTGAACAATTTAGAACTATTTACAAACTAATTTAAACAAGTTGAAACTACTTTCGAACTGATTAGAATACGTTAAAACTACTTTTCAACTGATTTAAACAACTTTGAACAAGTTGAAACTTCTTCCGCACTAATTTGAACAAGTTGAAACTACTTCCAAACTGATTCGAAAAAGTTAAAACTACTTTCAGACTGCTTTGAACAAGTTGAAACTTCATCCGCACTAATTTGAACAAGATGAAACTACTTTTAAACTGATTTTAACAACTTTGAACAAGTTGAAACTTCATTTGCACTAATTTGAACAAGTTGAAACTACTTTTAAACTGATTGTAACAACTTTGAACAATTCAGAACTATTTATAAACTAATTTAAACAAGTTAAAACTACTTCCAAACTGATTCGAAAAAGTGAAAACTACTTTCAGACTGTTTTGAATAAGTTGAAACTACTTCCGAACTGATTCGAATTTTTTTTTATGACGGTAGTTGCCTAAAGTGTCGTAATATAGGTGTCTTTCCCTACTTGTATCGGGCTGTCAATTTTTTTCTACACTTTTAGTTGTATTTTTTTTCCAAAAATTTGCAATAAAATTTTATCTTTCGATTGAAATTGAAATCTAAGAAGCTGAAACTTGGTAAACATATATTTAATTTTATGTGTAGATTTCACGAATAATATAGCTAACCCTTTTTGAAATATTATATTTAAATATTTAAATTTAAATAATCGTTAACGCAACCCTATAGGTAAGCGAGTGTAACTTGTATTTGACCAATTTTTTTTTTTTTTTGTAAATATTTATTTTGAAATTTATTGTGTCATGGCTAACAAATTTTCTTTTAAAAATAGTAGAAGTTCTTTCTTTCTTTTTTTTTTTTTTTTTTTTTTTTTTTGCATTTAAGGTGCAGTTCCATTGTTGGTTCTATGTTTACAAGATCCGGACTTGTGTCTTAAACAAATAAGTACATCAGCCCTGTCGGACATTGGTAAACACACAACGGAATTGGCACAATCAGTCATTGACTCGGGTACAATTTCAATATTGGCAAAAACATTTTCCATTTCTGATGCAAAATTAAAGGTTCATTATTATATTTCTTTTTTTTTTCTTTGTAAACAATTATACTTTAATTTTTCATTTTTATAAATAAAAATTTTATTTTACATTTATAAATACAAAATGTTTATTTCAAATAAAATTTGACATTAAATAAATTTTAAATAATTAAATTAAATTAAATTAAATTGAAATTAGTTTTTTTTTTTTTTTTTTGAAAGAACATAATTTTTTTTAAGCGTCAAGTTTTTACTTTATTGGGAAACATTGCCAAACATACAGTAGAATTTTCTGAACTTGTCGTAGAAACGGAAGTGTTTTCAAGTTGTTTAATTCACATGTCACATCCGGACGAGAATGTCGTGAAAGCGGCTGCAACATTAACAAGAGAAGTTTGCAAACATACCATTGAAGTATAAAAAATTCAAAAAAAAAAAAAAAAAATTTTTTTAAAAGTTCAAAAATTTTTATTTAATAAATTATATTATATAATAATAATAATAATAAAAATTAATTTTAGAAATTGAAAAGTAAAATTTTTTTGAAAAATTATTTTATTTTTCTTTTTTTCAAGTTGGCAGAAATGATTGTAAACGCTGGTGGAATTGCGGCATTAATAGAATTAATTGGCACAACTAAATCGGCAAGAGTGCCAGCAATAATGGCACTTGGTTATATTGCTGGTTACTCGGATCAACTAGCTTTAGCTGTTATTGATTCACAAGTAAGATCAACATCATTATTATTATTATTATTATTATTAACTATCGTCAATAACTTCAATTTGGTTCAATAAGAATTTTTTTACATTCCCAGACACTATATATTATTGTTTTTTCACGCAGACAAATACACCAATATATTTAAATTTTTTTTTTTTTTTTTTTTTAATGTGAAAGTCTCTATAAAGTATAAAACAAAAAATTTAAGAAAAAAAAATCATATTAATATAAAAATTAATGAATAATTGAAATAAGCAAATACTAATTTTAAATTAAAACAATAATATTTTTCAAATAGGGGAGAATAATATTTGAAATCGATACATCGATGTTTACTGTCGAAATATTGATTTTACCAATTAATATATTATTATTTACAGTCGAAATATCGATATATCGATAGTTACAATCGAGATAACGATATTTGCAATCGATACATCGACATTTACAATCGATATATCGATATTTGCAATCAATACATCGATATTTACAATCGATATATAGCTATTTACAGTTAAAGTATCGATATATCGTTATTTTGCCATCGAGATATCGATATTTTAAATCGATATTTATAGTCGAACTATCAATATATCGATACTTAAAATCGGTATATCGATATTTACAGTCGAAGCATCGATATTTATAATCGATATATCGCTATTTACAGTCGAAGTATCGTTATATCGATATTTGCAATCAATACATCGATATTTACAATCGATATATCGCTATTTACAGTTAAAGTATCGATATATCCTTATTTTGCCATCGAGATATCGATATTTTAAATCGATATTTATAGTCGAACTATCAATATATCGATACTTAGAATCGTTATATCGATATTTACAGTCGAAGTATCGATATTTATAATCGATATATCGCTATTTACAGTCGAAGTATCGTTATATCGATATTTACAATCGATATATCGATATACTTTTTTATTTTGAATATATGATAGATATTTAAAATTAAGTATATTTATTTATTAATTTTTTTTTTTTTTTGAAAAAGGGAATTATTCAATTGGCAAATATTTTGAGTGAAATAACTGATGATCACGTTACGGCTGTGACAATTTGGACCATTGGACAAATTGGAAAGCACACACCTCATCATTCCAGATTAGTTGCTGAGGCTTTAATTTTTCCAAAATTACTGACGGTTTAGTTTTTCTTTTTTTTTTAAAAAAAAAAAAAAATTTTCCTTTCTTTAATGAAAATATTATTTATTTTTGTTTTCATATCTTATAAAAATTGGGAAAAATCAATTTATTTATTTATTTTATTAGAATATGTATAAATATATAAATTTATATAATTTTAATTAATATTTCCTCTTTATCTTTGTTAAAAATAAAATGTAGATTTACATGAATCCAAAATCATCGGAAGATTTAAAAACAAAATGTCAAATGACATTTAAGCAAGTTTTACAAAAATGCACTTATTTCGAGGCTTTAGAATCATTACTTAAAAATGCACCTCAGGAGATTGTAAAATACGTTATTGGACAATTTAGCAAGGTATCGTTATTACTATATCATTATAATGAATTTAAAATAATAATAATAATAATAATAATAATAATTATTATTATTATTATTATTTTTATTATTAAAAATTATATAAAAATAGTAATTATTATAGAAATTAAAAAAAAAATTATAAATTAAAGTGAAAAAGGTATTAAAAAATAAATACGAAACATAGAATACATTTAACGATATTTATTAAACGTAATAATCTTTCTTCTGCATCACACGCATTTACATCGTATAATATATTTTCTTTATATATATATATGTAATTGATTATAAGTTTTAATACCTATATCATATCTATACACATTGTACAAATTTGCAATCGAAGTCGCTTATTTCTCATTTTCTATTTAAAAAAAAAAAAAAAAAATTATTGTATGAAAAAAATATATTAAAACTAATATAATAATATATTTAAATTTTAAATATTCATAATAGTAATGATGACAAAATATCTCTCTTTCCAATAATTTGTAAAATGCATAATAATTAATTAAAAATTCGTGCTTAACGATGAGATAACAAAAATATTTGTTTTTTCATCTTATTAAACGAAAATATTGATCACAAATTGATATATCGATATAAATATCGATATATCGATTTAAATATCGATATATCGATTTACACATCACTGTATCGACTTAGAAATTGATATATCGAATTGGATATCGATTTAAAGATCGATATAATGTCTTGAATATCGATATATCGATTTGGATATCGATTTTAACATCGATATATCGCTTTAAGTATCGATATATCGACTTAAAAATCGATATATCGACTTGGATATCGATATATTAGTTTGAATATCGATATGTACATTGATATATCGATTTTAACATCGATTTATCAATTTGAACATCGATATATCGCTTTTAACATCAATATATCGATTTTAACATCGATATATCGGTTTAGATATCGATATGTCGACTATGATATCAATTTGAAGATCGATATATCGTCTTAAATTTCGATATATCAACATTTAAATCAATATATCGACTTGAATATCGATATGTACATCGTTATATCGTCTCAAATATCGATATGTACATCGATATATCGTCTTAAATATCGATATATATATACAAATATCGAGATATCGATTAGGATATCGAGGTATCGATTAGGATATCGATATATCGATTGAGATATCGACAAATCGATAGATATTGATATATACGATTAAATAATACAAAAAAATAATTTTAGCATCCCATTGTGAATAAATCTTATTTCGATGAAAAATAAACTAAATATTAGGCTCTATTGCACAAACGAAGCAATTTAATTAAAATATATAAAAACAACATATATATAAATATAATAGTAAAATTAAAAAAAGAAATTACATAGTTAAAAATTATACTACGAAAATAATTATTTATTATTACTGATAATATAAGAAAAATCTCTTATTTTATACAAGCCTGCTGATTATTATTATTATTATTTTTTTTTTTTTTTGCATAATTACAAAAATTCTATTTCGAGCAGAACTGATTGTCATATATATATGAAAAAGCCATTTTTATCGAGCTCTTTATTAATTTTTATTTATTATTAAATTTTCTATTGAAAATAATTGAAAAATCGTGGAAATTTTTTTTTCTACGATAAATATATGTATAAGTAAAAATTGTCTAGTTGAAAATTATCTAAAAATTTTTTTTCCTATTTTTTTTTTTTTTTTTTTTTTTTTTTTTTTTTTTTTTTTTTTTGAAAAGAAGATAAAAAAAAACATTAATATTTTTTTTTTTCAAAAAATGTATTTTAACGTGCCAAAAAGGCGTTTTTTTTTAAATCATTGGCCCCCCTGTCATCTAAATACGATATTTCACTAGCGCAGAGCAGTGTTCTTTTAAAATTCTGAGCGAATTGGAAGAGAAACAAATATATGCAAAATTGCTTTTCTTTACGTATTATTTTCTGTTGTTGTTATTATTATTATTATTTTAAGATCCTGGTTATTTTATCAACTATATAAATTTTTTTTTGCAGTTTTTTAAATCCTTGTTTAATATATTATTTTAATAATAATAATTAATAATATATTGTATAATATATATGTATAAGTATATAATTTATTTTTTCATTTTTATCAGTTGAAATTCATTTCCTTTATTAAAAATTGATTGTACAAACCTAATTTTTTTTTTTTTGTAATATAAAGAATTTTTTTTTTTTTTTTTTTTGCTATTTTTAATAACAAATTTATTTAAATTTTTATTTTTTGTTGTTATTTTAATAATCACAAGGAACTCTTCATAGTGCCAGGATCATTCAGTCTTTTCTTTGATCTTTGGTTTATCAGCAGTTTTTTTTATTAATATATACGAGCATGTATATATATACATATAATATAATAATTGTAAAAAAAATATTGTATAATGTGAAAAGTAAAAAATTGAATACACAATTGACAAAAAAAAAATTATTATTAAAAACAATTTATTATTTAATATTAATAAAAAGTTAGAAAAAAAGAAAAATTCGTAAAAAAAAAAGAATTGGAGTTGAATAATAATTTCATTAAAATATATTTATATATATAAATCTATGGATTATTATTAACGATGCAATAAGTCGATATCGAAACATTTTTTGTGATTTATTGACGTATATCGATATTTTTTCTCGATATATCGAAATATCGATATATTTTCTCGATACATCGAAATATCGATATATCGATATTTGTAATCGAAATATCGATATTTACAATTGAATTATAATTGATATTTGCAATTGACTTATCGATATCTCTAATTGAAGTATCGATATTTTTAATCGATACATCTATAATCACAATCGATATATCTATAATCACAATCGAAGTATCGATGTTTACAATCGATATTTGAAAACAATACATCGATATTTACAATCGATACTTTTAATCGACTTATATATATTTACAATCGATATTTGAAGTTGATACATCGATATTTACAATAGCTATATCGATATTTATAATCGATACTTTCAATCGATGTATCGATATTTACAGTCGTAGTTTCGATATTTAAAATCGATACATCGATACTTACAATCGATATTTGAAATCGATACATCGATATTTACAACAGATATATCGATAATTTTAATCGATATTTATAACAGATATATCGATCATTGTAATCGATATTTATAACAGATATATCGATATATATATATATAATCGATATTTACAATCGATACTTTCAATTGATGTATCGATATTTATAATCGATATTTGTAATCCATATTCACAATTGATATATAGATATATGTAATCGATATATCGATATTTTCAATCGATATATCGGTATTTACGATCGATATATCGATATTTACATTCGATATATCGATAAATCGAATTTTTTTTGAAAAATATATCGATTTTTTATTTTTTACTATCGATTAATCGACTTTGCATCATGTACAAAAAAAATATAAAATTAGAATTAGAATATGAAGAGAAAAAAAATGGAATAAATCTAAATATATATATATACATATTATATAAAATTTAGGAGATTATAATAAAAAAAGAAAAAATTATTATTATTAAATATATATATAAATATAAAAAGGGAAAAAGAAATTTGAGATTATTTACTCGTCAGGTTCCTCATTGGCTTTGATACTAGCGTAATTATTAACATTTCTATTCATTTTTAACATTTTAAGAAAACTCCCTAATACCAATATTGTTTTACGATGACGCCTAAATATTCCTGTATAGAGAGCTTCTCTGACGTCACGTCGATCGCTGACATCAGAATCGATACTCGAACTCGCTGCAGACACTAGTGATGGTTTCGATGATATCGATTGATGATGTTGTTGTTGTTGTTGTTGTTGATGATGATGAGAATGATTATGATGATGATTCTGATTATGATAATGATGATGAGGTTCTTTTGTATTAATAATATTTCTCTCTTGATTATTAATCATTTTTAATTTTTTTTTTTTTTCAATAGAGATTTTAATTAAAATTTTTATTTAAAAAATTATTTTTTAATTTTTAAAAAAAAATTCTTGTTTTTTTATTAATAATAATAATATTTTTTTTTACTAAATATTAAAGCAAAAAAAAAAAAAACTGAAAAAAATTTGTTTATTAAAAAAATTTATTTATAACTTTTTTTGGTAAAATTAAAAAAAAAATTGAAATATAATTTTTTTTTTAAATACAAGAAAATTTTTATTATTTTTCAATTTTCATACTGCGTTTTTGAAAAATTTAATTTACTCATTATTAAAATGAGATAATTTGATATTTTACTTTTATTTTTAATAACTAATAAAAATAAGATTAAAAATATTGTTATTAATTTTTTTTTTTTTTGGGATTGATGAATTTTTCGAGAAAAAAAAAAAAAAAAAAAAATTAACGTTTATTGGTGTTCAATGCAAAATTATGTGATTCATTTGCAACGAAAAAAATAATGCATTTGACATTATTATATTAATCATTTCTTTTTTTTTTCTTAAAGAAATAATGTGAAAATATTCTTGATTTCGCTGATAGTGAAGTGAAAATTTTTTCTCATGACGATTTTGTGAAAAATGGTCCATTCGATGAGAAAATTCCTTGAGATTTATGGAGAAAAATCTAGTTTATCTGAAAAAATACAAAAAAATTACCAAAAATTTATTTTTGTTTTTGTTTAAGTAGAAAAAAATATTTTTCAAATTCTTTTTTTTTAAATTAAATTTATTATTATTATTATTATTTTACAAAATAAGTTTAGAAGAGGAAAAAATTATTATTATCATTATTATTATCATTAATAGTTTTTTTTTTTAAGTAAATATTTTTTTTTCTCGAAACATACTTTAAATTATAAATGAGGACAAGTTATAATGTACATTTATTTAAAAACATTGAACTATTGAAACTATTGAAAAAAATATAATAATAAAAAAAATCGTTTTTAATTCATATATTGCGTTTATTTATTTTTTTTCAATAACTCTCTTTCTCTCTCTCTCTCATGAATAGTTAGACGTGTTTTGTTCGGGTTTCTGAAGCCGTGTAACTTCCACTTTAATGTTTTTATCAATCTCAGGGACAAGTTAATAAACTATATACTTTTATGCCCTTTAATAACAAAAAAAAAAAAATAAAAAAATAATCACTTTTCTTCAATTTTTTTTTCATTTTTGGTAAATAAAAAAAGTTTTCCATTTCTTTTTTAAAAATATCAAAAAAAATTTTTTTTTTTTGAAACTAAAAAAAAAGTTTGAAATTAATTTTTAATTATATTAAATTAGAATTAAAAAAAAATTTTTTTTTTTATATTAAATTAAAATTTTCTAAATAATAATAAAAAAGAAGAAAAAAAAAAAATTTTTCTCTCAATTACTTTAGATACTTCCAAATGACACGAGGGCTCGTCGATTATTCGTGACATCGGGGGGATTAAAAAAAGTACAAGAAATTCGAGTAGAGCCTGACTCCACCCTTTCTGAGTACATCACAATAATTAACTGTTGCTATCCAGAAGAACTTGTGAGGTATTTAAAAAAACAAAAAAAAAAAATTTTCTTTTAAATAGTTAAATAATTATTAAATATAATAATTATTATAATAATTATAAAATAATTATTATATATTTAAAAACTCTTTTTCTATTCGAATATAAAGAATTGTTTTTTAATTTTAACTATAATTTTTTTTTTTTTCAATCAATTATTACTTTATGAAAATTAATCAACATATTTGTCGCTCAATTGACAGTAAATTAAATTTTAATTACTTTGTACTAGATTCTTCAATAATTCTTTTAATTGTTTCTAAAAAAAAAAGAAACTCTTTTATATTTTAGACATGAAGAAATTCTCATTTCTTCACTTTTTGATTCCTTTTTTCAATATTTCATATAAATATTTACAATTCTGTTCGGTAAAATATTCAATTTATTTTTAAATAATAATAATAATAATAATAATAATTAATAATAATTTCCTTTTAAACAATATGTTAAATATTATCGAACAGTATTGTAAAAACTGCTAAATAGTCTAATAAATTTTACCCCATGGTATTGTAAAATTTGTTAAAAACAGTATTGTAAATATTGTAAAACAGTATTGTAAATATTGTAAAACATTATTGTAAATATTACCAAACATTATTGTACAATTAAATTAAATTATTATTTACAATATTGTTTGACAATATTAACAATAATGTTTGGCAATATTTACAATACTGTTTAATAAATTTTACAATACCGTCGGATAATATTTATTAAGATTATTTAGTATTTTTTTACAATACTGTTCGATAATATTTCACATACTGTATTATATATATATATTTATTATAACGCGTAAAAATTTTTTACATTACTCTTCGGTAATATTTAATATACTGTTTAGTATTAATTATTGTAACGCGTAATAAATTTTACAATATAGTTCGGTAATATTCAATATACTATTTAGTATTTTATGATTGTTATTATTATTATTATTATTATTATTATTATTTTCAATATTGATTAGTAATATTTACTATACTGTTTAACAAACTTTACAATATGCTTCGGCAATATTTAATATACTATTTAGTATTTTTTACAATACTATGTAGTATTATTCACAATACTGTTAAATAAACTTTACAATTCTTTTCGGTAATATTTAATATATAGTATATTTTGTATTTTTTACAATACTGTTTGGTATTGTTTATAATACCATTTACTATTAGTTACTATACTGTTTGGTAATATTTACAATTTTCTTTTAAAATATTTTAAAATGCTAATAAATAATAAATAAAATAATAATAATAATTATAATAGATAAATTTAGTAAATATTAATATATATAATATATATTATATATTATATTTTATATATTATATTTTATATATTATATATTATAAATTATATACTATACAAAATCTAAAAATCAAAGAAAAATAAAATTGTTTTTAAAATATATTTTGTAATTTATTTGTTTTCTTTGTTTGTAATTCCAATAAAAATCAACCTCGAAATATTTTCAATCGGTAAATAAAAAAATTTTTCTATGTCATTTACGATTAAAATAGTATTTTTGTGGAATGTTGATTTATATAGAAGCGGGGATTTCGAAATGTATTTTAAATACGTGTTACTTTCACTATACAGATATATATATATATACATACCTATACATATACATATAAATATTTCCAGACCATACCAACTTAAATTGATTTACAAAAAGAACACAAAAAAAATATCTATATATATATTCTTTATATACACATATTGTTTAATCAATTTTTATAATAAATTATTAAAAAAAAAAACTAAAATTTCAAAAATTTGGTAAAAAAATCTTTTTTTTAAATTTTTTATATACATTAGAAATGAATATTTATATAAAATTAAAAAATTCTTTTTTAATGTTTAATTTTCCCTTTAAAAATTTGTTTTTTATAACATAAGGTTCTCGACCCACTTTTTTTTTTTTTTTTTTTTAATAATACTTGAATTTTCACAAATGGAGAAATAAAACATTCAAATATTTGCGATTTTTTTTTAAAAAAAGAAAATTTTGTAGTAAATTTTTTTTTACTAAAAAACTAGTATTTACCATTTAATGATGATGGAATCACAAATTACACAAAACAGTAACACTTGTCCATTTGTTGTTGTTTTGATATATATAATGGATTTTTTTACAGTCTCTTGAAATGAGTTGATTTATATATATATATATATGTGTGTATCCATATACTAAAAATTAAAGTACGAAAAACTATGACAAATGCCAGGCCTTGTTTATTATTATTATAATAATAAATTATTATTATTATAATTGTATTTTTAGTTGACAATTATAATATTATAGAAAATAGACTCAAAATAAAAGAAAAATTATAATTTGTATACATATATATATATGTAAATTTTTAACATATATAAGTTTTTATAAAAACACTATTGTATTACTGTCACATTTGTATATGTAACATATTTTAAACGCGCGATGCTTTTAATGCATACACGAGGAACGTCACTGAATGATTGGAAAAGCTCGACTTTTAAAGCAGAGTTCACAATTGACGTTCACCTGTATAAAACCAGGGACGAGTGTCATGACTCATAAGCCCTCATCACTTTACATATATATTCATATATATTCATTATATAGTTTCACAATTATTCAAAAAATTTACTACACTTTTTATTTAAATTACATCACTCGTTTTTTTTATAAAACATTTTCAATTTTTTTTTTTTTTTATGAAAATCAGAAAAAAATATTAGATTAAAAAAGAAACTGTTAAAAGAGTTATTTTTCTATATTTATATCGAAAATATACGAAAAAAATGTCCTAATAACAAATTTTCAATGAAAATCTGATGGAAATTAGAAAAAATCCCCTATATTGGATTCATCATTTTGAATTTTGTAAATCTGATGTGAAATTCGTAATCAGCGACCCCTAAAACCCCCGAGTAACAATTTTCAAACGAATTTAAACAATTTTTTGAAAAAAAATCCGCCATACTAGATCCACCATTTTGAATTTTAAAAAACTAACATCGGATTCGTAATAAGCGACCCCAAAAACCCCCGAGTAATAAATTTCAAGGGAATCTGATAAATTTTTTAAAAATTCGTTCTCCATTTTGGATCCGCCATTTTGAATTTTGCAAATCTGATGTCAAATTCGTAATCAGCGACCCTGAAAACCCCCAAATGACGATTTTCAAACGAATTTGAACAATTTTTTGAAAAAAAAATCCGCCATACATGATCCGCCATATTGAATCTTGAAATACTAACATCGGATTCGTAATCAGCGACCCCAAAAACCTCCGAGTAATAAATTTCAAGGGAATCTGATAAATTTTTTAAAAATTCGTTCTCCATTTTGGATCCGCCATTTTGAATTTTGCAAATCTGATGTCCAATTCGTAATCAGCGACCCCGAAAACCCCCGAGTAACGATTTTCAAACGAATTTGAACAATTTTTTGAAAAAAAAATCCGCCATACTAGATCCGCCATTTTGAATTTTGAAAAACTAACATCGAATTCGTAATCAGCGACCCCAAAAACCCCAGAGTAATAAATTTCAAGGGAATCTGATAAATTTTTTAAAAATTCGTTCTCCATTTTGGATCCGCCATTTTGAATTTTTCAAATCTGATGTCAAATTCGTAATCAGCGACCCTGAAAACCCCCAAATGACGATTTTCAAACGAATTTGAACAATTTTTTGAAAAAAAAATCCGCCATACATGATCCGCCATATTGAATCTTGAAATACTAACATCGGATTCGTAATCAGCGACCCCAAAAACCTCCGAGTAATAAATTTCAAGGGAATCTGGTAAATTTTTTAAAAATTCGTTCGCCATTTTGTTTTTTGCAAATCTGATGTCAAATTCGTAATCAGCGACCCCAAAAACCCCCGGGGGACAAGTTTTAAGCCAATTTAATGAATTTTTGAAAAAAAATCCACCATACTAGATCCGCCATTTTGAGTTTTCAAAAACGAACATTGGATTCGGAATCAGCGAACCTTACAAATAAGCCTGAAGTAATGATTTTAAAAACGAATTTGAACAATTTTTTAATTTTTGGTCATCATTTTGAATCGGCCATATTGAATTTTGAAAATCTGATGTCAAATTCGTAATCAGCGACCCCGAAAATCCCCGAGTAACAATTTTCAAACGAATTTGAACAATTTTTTGAAAACATACGCCATATTGGATCCGCCATTTTGAATTTTAAAAAACTAACATCGGATTCGTGATCAGTGACCCCGAAAACCCCCGAGAAATAAATTTCAAGCGAATCCAATCAGTTTTCGAAAATATTTTCGCCTTATTGGATCCGCCATTTTGAATTTTGAAAATATGATGTCAAATTCGTAATCAGCGACCCCGAAAACACCCAAGTATAAAGTTTCAAGCGAATCTGATCAATTTTTTAATATATTAAATCGTTGAATACGAATTTCACATCATATTATCAAAATTCAAAATGGCGGATCCAAGATGGCGGAAAATTTTTTGTAAACTGATTGAATTTACTTGAAACTTGTTACTCGGGGGTTTTCGGGGTCGCTAATTACGAATTTGACATTACATTTTTAAAATTCAAATTGTCGGATCCAATATGTCTAACTTTTTTTGTTGAAATTTATTGAATTCGCTGAAAATTTGTTATTTGGGTGGTTTGTTTTTTTGGTCCCTTGTACATAATTGGAATATAAAATTTAAATCAAAAACATTAATTTCTTTAAGTAGCAATTAAATATAAATATTTTGAGGTTATGTAACACATTTTTTACCAAACAGTACTGTAAATAATATCAAATCGTAACAATTATTTAAAAAAATAAATTTTACTGAATAAAATTTTCAAACAATATTATAAAAAAGTTAAAATTTTCAAACATAATTAATAAAAATTAAAAAATGTTTTAGATTTTATTCACCTGGATATCAGGACAGCTTATTGGATGCCGTTGAACAATATCAGCCAAGATGTGAACCTCTACAAAATATTGTTAAACCGTCTAAAAGCACTGATACCAATATTTTGGCACCAATTTAAAAAGAAAAAGAATAATTAAAACAAAACTAAAATGTAAGAAAAATAAAAAATGAAATAAAATTTAAATAAATATTTAAATTTGTTATCTTCTTTTTTTCTGCTCTCATAGTTGTTGCTATTTTAAAAATAAATACAATAATAGGAAATATATTTTTTTTTATCTAAGAAATAAAAATTCATTGTTTGTTTTTTTTTATTTATTTTTTTTATTTTTCTAACATTTTGTGGCATTCGCGATAGTACAAGAATGTTTGCCTATATACATGAAAAAAAAGAGAGGAAAAAAAAATTATACCATTTAAAGCGACACTTTTAACGACAGACATCACTTTTTCGTTTTGGTAATTAAAAATCATTGAGAACTTTTTTGACTAATATTATTATAATAATAATTATTATTATTATTAGGTGTATCATTAAAGAATTATGAATGAAAGTGAGAAGTTTTATTATTATTATTATTATTAATATTAATATTATTCATAAACATCTTGTTTATCACCTATATAACGAATTATATCAGCTGGTTTCATTAATCTTTCTGCATCCATATCTGGTATTTCAAAACCAAATTCATCTTCAACTGCCATTATTATTTCCACATGATCCAAAGAATCTAGTCCTAAGTCATTGGTGAAATGTGAATCTGCAGTCAACTGAATTTTTGTAGAAAAAAAACCGATTAGTTTTGGTTTTTTTTTTTTTTAATATTAGCAAAAAAATTCGGCGGGCTTATATTTTTTTCATTCAATGTGTCTTCTATAAATTTTAATATTTGTTTTCTTTTTGTTAAATGTAATAGAAAAAAAATAATATATAATAATAATAAATAAAAAATTAATATCAATAATTAAGATTCTTTTTTGTCCCATTTGATAATTTAATAATAAATTCTAGTAAATGATAAATTTTTTGGGACTAGAGTGAAATATTTACACAGATCTTATAACATTTCGAGATTTAATACAATTAATTGATAAATAAATTTTCATCTCGAGACCTTAAATATGTGTATTGTACATTTTATTATATTTTTAAAAATAATTTGCCATTTACTAGAATATATTCTTAAATTAATAATATAAATAGATAAAAATTAATAAATAAAGATTAATAATAAATAATTTTTAAAAGCATAAATAAAATAATTCAACAATAATTTAACATTGATTTAATAATGACTCGACAACGACTTAATATTGATTTAATAGTAATTTTTTTTTTTTTGCTTAAGGACTTTTGGAAAATTCTGCATACAGTTATCAATTTTAAAAAATAATAAAAATGATTATCAATGTCAAAGCGAAATTAACAGCACATAAGAAAAAAAAGGAAACAATAAAATAAGTCAATAAAAAAAAACAAAGATTAAAATAAATAAAGAATAAAAAATAAATTAATTAAAATAATAAATAATTTCAAATGTTAAAATTGTAAAAAAAAGACAAATGGACAAAAATAATACCAAAAGAAAATAAATAAAAATTGTAAAAAGACAAATGGACAAAAATAATACTAAAAAAAATATAAATTGTTAAAAGACATATAGATAAAAAAAATACTAAAAGAATGTAAATAAAAATTGTAAAAAAAACAGAAACAAATAAAACACAAAATAAATATAAAATTGTAAAAAGACAAAAATAAATAAAAAATAAATATCAATAATAAAAATTAACAAATAAATGAAAATAAATAAAATAAATGCTTTTTAAATTATTGTTTTTGGCGGTTAAGTCGAAGTTCTTTCTTATCATAACAGAGATTATAAAGGTCTCGATGTGCGACCAGTTGTCTTAAGACAGGATCATCAGCGATACTATGTTCTCCGGTGTAATTTGATTCAACAATGATTTAACATTGATTCAACATTGATTCAACATTGATTTAACATTGATTCAATAATGATTTAACATTGATTTAACATTGGTTCAACATTGATTTAACATTGATTAAACAATGATTTAACATTGATTTAACATTGATTTAACATTGATTTAACATTGATTTAACATTGATTTAACATTGATTTAACAATTATTTAATATTGATTTAAAATTGATTCAATAATTATTCAATAATAATTGTTCAACCGTTATTGAATCATTGTCAAATCATTATTGAACGAATGTTAAATCAACGTTATCCCAATATCGATTCCCAGCGTGACACACCATTTGAATGCAAAAAAAAAAAATTATTGCAAAATCATCTAAAACAAATAAAAAATTGTTAATTAAAATTTCAATAAAAGACACATTGAATATTGCAGACATCCGACTCAAGCAAGGCTTCTGCCATTCTTCAAACGAAGTTTCTAAAAATGATTTTTTCAAGTTTGACAAAATTGTTCAATTTTTCCCTCCTTTCTTCATTCATTTTTTCTCCCATTAATATTTTTTTTTTCAAAATTTTATTTCTCGATTATTACAATTTTTTTCTTCTCTTTTTCCAAATTTTGCAATTTCAATTGTTTCTTCTTAATTCAATGCAATCATTTCTATTTAATTCAATTTAATAATTTCTTTTTAATTTAATTATTTCGTTTTTTTTTTTTTTAAATGAAGCAACCAATGACAAAAGGAGTGGAAAAATACACGGAAAAGATCATTTTTAGACTTAACTTCCTCGCATCATCTTCTTTTTTTTTCTAAAGGAGGGCGAGATAAGTCTTTCTTTAAAAAAATATACCTTTTCTGGATCAATTTTGTCAAACAATTTGAGAACCAATAGAACACGATCGGTGATTATTTTCAAACTTCTTGGTTCCACTGAACTGTAATGGCGCACCTGCTTGACTCGTGATTCCGTTAAGCCCTAGAAAAATAGAAAAAAATTGCTTTAAATTCCATTCTTTTCAAAAATATTTTACCTTATCGGCTGTTATTTTATCGTAACTTGCAACAACTTTCATAACACGTTCCTCAATTTCTTTTGTAGATGGTTTCTCCTTTGTCGAACAATTTCGCGTTTGTTTATCAATTACCTGGACAGTTAAATTCTAAAAAAAATTTAGTGCCATTTAGTAGAAATTAGTATAATTTTAGTACAAAAGTACAAATTTATTACAAAATTAGGACAAATTTAATACAAATTCAGTACAAATTTAGTACTTAGTTCGAACTTAGTACGAATTTAGTACTTAGTACAAATTTAGAACTTAGTTCGAATTTAGTACGAATTTAGGACTTAGTTCGAACTTAGTACGAATTTAGTACTTAGTTCGAATTTAGTACGAATTTAGTACTTAGTTCGAACTTAGTACGAATTTAGTACTTAGTTCGAACTTAGTACGAATTTAGTACTTAGTACGAATTTAGTACTTAGTTCGAATTTAGTTCTTAGTTCGAATTTAGTACTTAGTACGAATTTAGTACTTAGTACGAATTTAGTACTCAGTACGAATTCAGTACTTAGTTCGAACTTAGTACAAATTTAGTACTTAGTTCGAATTTAGTACGAATTTAGTACTTAGTTCGAATTTAGTACGAATTTAGTACTTAGTTCGAATTTAGTACGAATTTAGTACTTAGTTCGAATTTAGTACGAATTTAGTACTTAGTTCGAATTTAGTACGAATTTAGTACTTAGTTCGAATTTAGTACTTAGTTCGAATTTAGTACTTAGTTCGAATTTAGTACGAATTTAGTACTTAGTTCGAACTTAGTACGAATTTAGTACTTAGTTCGAATTTAGTACGAATTTAGTACTTAGTTCGGTCTTAGTACGAATTTAGTACGACTTTAGTACTTAGTTCGAATTTGGTACGAATTTAGTACGAATTTAGTACTGAGTTCGAATTTAGTACGAATTTAGTACTTAGTACGAATTTAGTACTTAGTTCGAACTTAGTACGAATTTAGTATTTAGTTCGAATTTAGTACGAATTTAGTACTTAGTTCGATCTTAGTACGAATTTAGTACTTAGTACGAATTTAGTATAAATTTAGTACAATTTTTATTGAACCGAATTTTCATTTAGCAGGATTTTCCATTAGTACAATTTTTATTTAGCTACATTTTCATTTAATAAAAATTTTTATCGGATTTCCATTTAGTAGAAATTTCATTTAGCTAAATTTTTATTTAAGAAGTAAATTAATTTTTTAGCGTTAATTACTGATTTGTTAATTTGAAAATTCGCGGCAAAATAGCAGACGAAAATTTTATTTAAGTGATAATTTTTTCGGCTAAATCAAAATTTTTGTTAAAATGAAAATTCGCAGTAAATAAAAATTAAATTAAAAATTACACTAAATAAAAATAGAAAATTAATGAAAATTCTAGTACATAAAAATAGAAAATTAATGAAAATTCTAGTAAATAAAAAAAAATTAAAGAAAATTAGGGTTTAAAAAAATTCATAAAATTCGGCCCAATAACAATTTGAAGGTTAAGTATGCAAAAATTGCCGCCGCATATATATATTTAGCACCAAATACTGCGACTCAAGTATAAAATTAAATATTTATAAGTATAAAATTCTAATGTCATTAAAAAAAAAATTCAATAAAACCTATTTTTCCCTCCGTGAATTTAGACAAAATGATAAAATTGACTTTTACCCCCTTTTTATTATCAATGAAAAATGAAAATAAAAATACAAAAATGACCCAAAAAAAATCAATTTTTAAATTTCAATAATAGAAAAAACTATCAAAATAATTATTTCACTTTTCTCAAAGTTGTCGAATCAAAATGTAATTTTCAATGAGTTATGTAATATCTGTAGATTAAATTGATAAAAAAAAAAAAATACAATTTAATTTTTTCCCTCGAATTAATGAGAAAACAAAAATGTGAAAACCCCATAAAATTGATATTTCGATTAATTTTCTTTATTCCATCAATTTTTCTTTTTTTCGGAAAAAAATCTAAATGAGATAAAAAAAAAAAAGAGGTTACCTTATGAATTGACAGTGGACACCTTGTTGCATTGTGAATGAATTTCTCTTGAATTTTGTGTGACGCTTCATTTTGTAATAAATTCAAGCATCGTCGGGAATTTCTTAAAATGCCGGTATTTCGCACGATTAAACGTACACTCGTTAGCGACGCCATTTTTACACGTGCAGAGAAGACAAACGAAAAAAAAATAACCGCAAAGGGCGATTATAAATTTTCCTCGTTTATTCACTGCAATGTGACGTGATTAGTTCCATTTTATCTCGTCTCACGTCGCCTTTGTAGCAGCTGATTCCGTAATATATTACAATTTTTCCCTCTATTTTCACGTTACATTTAAAAATTTTATTTTCAAAATTAAATAAATATTAATTTATTTATACAAAAATTAATTTAAAAAATACGATTTTTTTTTCTCATTATTCACAAAAAAATTTGTATTTTTCAAATTAAAAAATAATTGTTTTTTTTTTTAAATTAAAGTTTCCGATCTGACATAACCACAAAAGTTTCCGGAAACTTCCAAAAAAAAAGTATATATATATAAAAATAACCGGTTAATAAAGTTTCAAAGTAATATTATATTTTTATTTATTTATAATTATCATCATGATTTCAAGGTAAATAAAAAATATTTTTTAACAAAATTTAACCAAAAATTCGTATCATTTTTATTCTCAAGGGGAAAATAACTTTTTCTTTTATTCTAGACTGCAAAAACGAATTTTACAACAATTAAATAATACTTGCCAACGATTATTATTGCCGAATGTAAATTTAGAGACTAATGATATTAATAAAAAGGAGAATATTAAAATTGATGATAAACAAAATGATAGCACAAAAATAGTAAAGGTAAGATTTAATTGTTATAACGTATTTTTTATTTCTCGTGTAACATAACCTCTTAAAAATTCGAAAATTTGTCAAATATTTCTTATATGATTAAATTAAAAATTGTTTTAAACAAAAATTCGGTTAAATAAAAATTTTTTTAAACGAAAAATTTCTGTTTAATGCAAATTTGGTTAAATAAAAATTCAGTTAAATGCAAATTTTTTCGAAATAAAAATTTAGGAGACTATAAAAAATTGCTTAAAATTCAATTTGTGTTAAATAAAAATAGTTTTAAACGAAAATTCGATTAAATTCAAATTTAGTTAAATGAAAATTCTGCTAAATGCAAATTTGGTTAAATGAAAAATCTGCTTAATGCAAATTTGGTTAAATAAAAATTCTATTAAATGGAAAGTTTACTTAAATTAAAAAAAATTGGTTATCAGTAAAAATTCGATTAAATGAAAATTTGGTTAAATGAAAATTCTGTTAAATGCAAATTTGGTTAAATGAAAATTCCGTTAAATTCAAATTTAAAAAAAATCGGTTACCAGTAAAAATTCGGTTAAATGGAAATTCTGTTAAATGCAAATTTGGTTAAATGAAAATTCCGTTAAATTCAAATTCAACAAAAAATCAGTTACCAGTAAAAATTCGGTTAAATGAAAATTCCGTTAAATTAAAAATTTAAAAAATCGATTACCAGTAAAAATTTGGTTAAATGGAATTTCTGTTAAGTGAAAATTCCGTTAAATTCAAATTTGAAAAAATCGGTTACTACTAAAAATTCGGTTAAATGGGAATTCTGTTAAATGCAAATTCGATTAAATGTAAATTCGGTTAAATGAAAATTCCGTTAAATTCATATTTGAAAAAATCGGTTACCACTAAAAATTAGGTTAAATGGGAATTCTGTTAAATGCAAATTTAATTAAATGAAAATTCCGTTAAATTCAAATTCAAAAAAAAATCGGTTACCAGTAAAAATTCGGTTAAATGTAAATTCGGTTAAATGAAAATTCCGTTAAATTAAAATTTTAAAACATCGGTTACCACTAAAAATTCTGTTAAATGCAAATTTAATTAAATGAAAATTCCGTTAAATTCAAATTCAAAAAAAAATCGGTTACCAGTAAAAATTCGGTTAAATGTAAATTCGGTTAAATGAAAATTCCGTTAAATTAAAATTTTAAAACATCGGTTACCACTAAAAATTCGGTTAAATGGGAATTCTGTTAAATGCAAATTTAATTAAATGAAAATTCCGTTAAATTCAAATTCAAAAAAAAATCGGTTACCAGTAAAATTTCAGTTAATTGTAAATTCGGTTAAATGAAAATTCCTTTAAATTAAAATTTTAAAAAATCGGTTACAAGTAAAAATTTGGTTAAATGGAATTTCTGTTAAGTGAAAATTCCGTTAAATTCAAATTTGAAAAAACCGGTTACCACTTAAAATTCGGTTAAATGGGAATTCTGTTAAATGCAAATTTGGTTAAATAAAAATTCTGTTAAATTCAAATTTAAAAAAAATCGGTTACCAGTAAAATTCGGTTAAATAAAAATTCCGTTAAATTCAAATTTGAAAAAATCGGTTAAATGGGAATTCTGTTAAATGCAAATTTAATTAAATGAAAATTCCGATAAATTCAAATTCAAAAAAAAATCGGTTACCAGTAAAATTTCAGTTAAATGTAAATTCGGTTAAGGTATCACATCGGTAAAACCGTTTTCTATAGATTTTCTTGAAAATTTTACCATATGTTCTTATTATCATTCTTGACAAATTTGCAAAATATGAAGAATTTTCGCCGTACGAAACCAGAGATATTAGCAATCAAAGTTGCTTATTTTGCATGGGAGACGGGACTAATGTATGGGGGAGAAGTACATTTTCATAAATATCATCAGAAGTTTTCTATAAATTTTTTTCAAAAACTAATGTTGAATTCACGAATAAATTTGGAACTAAAATATACAAAAAAATTTATAATTTACCGTGCCGTTTATTTGTAATTATAAATTAAAAATTCTATTTCATGACGTCATTTGCAATATATAGCACACCCGCCACTTTGATGTGGCAACATCGCAGGATGGTAACATTAGTTAGAGAGAGACAGTAGTCCACAGTAGTCAAAGCGAGACTTATAGCGACGTTGTCAAACCTCCTACTCCTTCCAATCGCTGCTAGTGTGGGGTATACGTGTACGAGTGTATTTGTAGAAGTAGGTACAGTATGGGCTGAGAGTATAGGGAGTTGAGGGCGAAAGTATACTGCGGGAAGTAGTAATGCGAGCTACAAACTTTTGACTCCGATTAGTGCCGATGTGATACCTTAAATGAAAATTCCTTGAAATTAAAATTTTAAAAAATCGGTTACCAGTAAAAATTCGGTTAAATGGAATTTCTGTTAAGTGAAAATTCCGTTAAATTCAAATTTGAAAAAATCAGTTACCAGTAAAACTTCGGTTAAATGGAAATTCTGTTAAATGCAAATTTGGTTAAACGAAAATTCCTGTTAAATTTAAATTTAAAAAAGTCAGCTACCATGAAAAATTCGGTTAAATGGAATTTCTGTTAAATGGAAATTCTGTTAAATGAAAAGTCCGTTAAATTCAAATTTAAAAAAAAATCTGTTACCAGTAAAAATTAAATACAAATTTGATTAAATATAAAATACTTTTTAAACAAAAAATCAGATATAAAAATAAAATTTAATTACAGAACATAAATCAAAATTTCAATATTGACGATGATGGATTTGTCAGTGTTTATACAGACGGTTCATGTTCATTTAATGGTTTACAAAATGCAAAAGCCGGCATTGGCGTTTGGTTTGGCCAAAATCATCCTCTGTATGTTATTTTTTTCTATTCCTTTTTTTTAAAAAAAACAAAAAAATAATTTTGAAAGTAAAAAATTTCCCTTCTTTTTTAACAGTAATGTCTCTGAACCAATTTTTGGTCGTTCAACATGCAATGTTGCTGAAATTATGGCAGTAACAAAAGCCGTTAATGTAGCTAAAGAAGCTGGTATTAAAAAATTGAGAATTTATACAGATTCAAAATTTGTTGTACAATCAGTCACCACTTGGATGCCTAAATGGAAAATTAATGGTTGGAAAGGTTCCAAAAAAAAGCCGGTTATTAATAAAAATGAATTGATTACATTAGACGAAGCTTTAAAATCAATTGAAGTCTCTTGGGTACTATTATTATTATTATTCTTACTATTATTATTACTATTATTATTATTACTACCCCGAGAAAAAATATTTCCATGATTCAAAGAAATCAATTCCTTTGACAAAATTTTCTTTGATTCAAAAGAAAAATTATCTTCGTTTCAAAGAAATTTGTTATTTAATTCAAATAAATGTTTTTTTTTGACCCTATATCAATGTTAGAATTTCTTTGATTTAATGCACAAATTTCTTTCATTCAAAGAAATTTTTTTTGAATCAAAAAGAAATTTTCTATGCAACTTAGAAAGTTTTTTTGTTTCAAAGAAAATTTTCTTTTCAATAAAAAAAAATTAAGTCAAAGAAACTGGTTTCTTTAAATCAAAGAAATATTTTCTCTGGGTGTATTATTACTATTATTAATATTAATATTATTACTATTAATATTATTACTATTATTATTATTATTATTATTATTATTAAAAAAAAATGTAATTGAATTTTTTCCATTTAAGATTCACGTTTCGAGTCATTCAGGAATTCATGGAAATGAAATGGCAAATTTATTAGCAAAAGAAGGAATTGAAACGACAGTTATTTAAATTTTTAAAATATAATTTAATTTAAAAAAGCAAATTTTTGGTTTTCTTTTTTGTTTATTTTAGAATTTTTTTTTTTTTTACATTGGATTTGGACGTGGTGCAGATTTTCTCTTTTGCGGCGAAATTCTACTAATTTGTCGAAGAAGCGTGTAAATATCCTCTGGACATACTTGAAGTGCTAATAATTCCATTAGGACTCTGAAGAAAAAGGAAAAAAATTTTTTTTTTTTTAAATATATATGAAAAAACAACAGAAAATAAAGTAAAAAAAAAATGTTTTCGCAATTTTGTAAAAAAAAAAAAAAATAATAATTGTATATTTATTGGTAGTTAATAATTAATAAAAAAAAATATATATATATAAAACAAAAATTTATTCTTCATTTATTATTTAAATTATATTTTTAAATTATTTCTAATCATCGTACTTGTAAAATGCAAAAAATCCTTTATAGTAAGAGGCGCGAAACTTTGGAACGTCTTTCGTATTAAATAAATAAATTTATTTCTTTTTTAATTTTTAATAATCGCTTCATAATGCGGTAAGAAAATCTATACAATTTAGCACATATTAATTCAATTCTAAAAAATGGTTTTTTTCTAATAATAATTTTATAAATTTCTTGAAGTCCTGATGAGCTGCGCTCGCAACGAAAATGCATTAGAGAGAAAGAAAATAAAGACTAAATTTTTATACATCTAAAAGTTTTAAACTTTTTTTAAATTTTTTTTACACTTACGGACCTAAGGCCATAAACTTAAAAATATTTATTTCAAATTAAGGTCCTAAAAAGAATAAAATACTAATTTTTAATAAATAAATTTAATAAGTTTAATTATTATTTCTCTCTCTTTTAAATTTTTATATTTATGTTAACCTAACCTCTCTAAAATATAAATAATTCGCAAAGTATTTTGGAAAATTAGTAAACGTTTTTTTTATTTTTGTTTTATTCATTATTTTCTACATAACTTAGCAAAGCAAACTAATATTATGTCTTAATTTTAATAATTTGGGTATAAAAATTAAAATTTAATTAACAAAAATTTAAATATTAAAAACATTTTTTTTTCTCTAACCTAAATATTTCAGGCGATGTTTGAATTCCAGCCGATTCAGCGAGAGAAATTAAATCGGATAAATTATCCTGTGACTGTGTCATTATTTAAATAATTTTTTTTTTCGGACATAAATTCAATTTTTCAAATTATTTGATTAAGAGGTAATTTTAGACGATTTTAATGAATAAAGATACTTGGATTGTGTCGCCTATTTGCAGAAGTTGTCATGGTAACGTACAAAAATAATAGAGATAGTAAATTTCAATTTGAATTTTCTCTCTCTTTTACTCTTGTACGTTGCCATGACAACTTCTGCCAAAGAGTGTGAAAGTACCTTTAAATCATATTTCACCAGGGTTGAGTCGTTCGATTTTCCATCAATCTCGATGAGAAAATTCTCGCGGTAATATTTCCCAACCAATAAGAAAATTGTCCCATGAGGTTCTAACAGAAAGATTGTAAAATCCGTTATAAAAAAACACACACACACAGAGTCTTTTTTATCTTTTATTTTTTATTTATTAATTCAAAAATCTTTTCTCTGGTGTGCTGTTAATTCCGCTTTGACATTGATAATCGTTTTAATTATTTATTTATTTAAAATTGATAACGTTTAGGCGCGATCGCAGAAATTTTCTTTATTATAACCTCAAAAAAAAAAAAAAATATTTGATAATTGTATTAATTCTTTAACGTCCAATAGATTTGATTTTGAAACGGAGAAAATATTATTAAAATCCATTTGTCCTAATGTTATCGTTTTTATTTATGAAATCAATTTAAATAAAAATTTTAATTTTTTCGTATATACATATATCATTTTTGTTCTAATATTTCTTATTTAATATGTATATATTTTTTTCACTTAGAATAAAATACTATTTAAAATAAGGTAGTAAATTAAATTCCATTATTTTTTTTTGCAATTAAAAACTTTTTATTTTGGTTCATTTTGTTTTTTTGTTTTTTTTTTTTTGTAAATGGGAAAAATATATATATCGCATGTGTGCCTGTAGGAACTTTGGACTACAGATTATTTCCGAAGAAATTTTCTGAGGTAATCTACCGGCATTTTTTTTTTTTTTTTTTTAATATATATATATAATATGTATGTGAATTATATAATATATATATTATAGCAAAGAACACGTGTCTCGTGGCTATTTGACCGCATTGTCGCGCGTACAAAAAATTTCCTTAAATTTATAATATTTACTAAATTATTACAATCTAACCATATAAGTAAATAATATACGTTTTCTTACGATAATAATAATAATAATAATAATAATAATTTATCATCCACTTATTAAATTTATACACATTGGTAACAAATAGTATCAAATAATAAAAAGATAAGAGTGATTTGCAGGTGATTTTTTCTTTTCTCGTCCCTGCAATATTTTTAACTAAATTTCGATGGGCGAAATAGTCAAAAATTAAGTTTTTTCTTTTTTAAATTCGCACATAAAATTTATTTTTATTTTTTATGATACTAATAATATGCTTATACCGTTACGACTAAATTCTCATCTCATTTATCTATTTTTTTTTCTTTTTTATTATTAACTTATTATTTTATATTATCCGGCTCTATAATCAAATTGGTAACAGAAAACTTGGCAAATTGTTCTTTTCTTTTTTTTAGGAATAAAATTCGGCGAATTAAAATTTGAAAATTTAAATTATTTTTGCTTCGAATTTCCGAAAAAAAAATATATATATAAGTTCGGGTGCGAAAAAGAAAAATTGCTCAATTTAAAAAAAGAGTCACACACTAAGTCTTTTTTGCGTTGATAAAAAACATTTCTCGCTGTTTTGTATCATTTTTTTTTATGTATAAAAAAATTATTTACAATGTTTGCAACTTACAGTAGGAAATTTTTTTTTCTCTCGCAAAAATTGTGAACGAAAAACAAAAAAAAAAAAACAAGTTTGTTAATAAATATAACAAAAATTTAATTTTTCCGTGATTTAATAAAAAAAGGAATTGCATTTTTAAACAAAACAGAAAATAACACTAAACGAGACTAAACAAAAGTAAATTTAAAAAAAAAAAATTTTTTTTGTTAATTTCTTTTTAACGAAAAGAAAAATGCATTGAATACAAAATTCGTGTCAATGAAAAATAAAAAGAAAAAGAAATTTTTCGATTTTGAAAAGGGAAAATATTTGTGCTTCAATTTGCAAAATATTCTTTGGTTTATAATCAAAGCAGCAAATTTTTTTTAAAAAAATCAAAAAAAATTTTTTATTTTAATAAAATTGCGCTTTTTGAAAATTAAAAAAAAAGCGAAAATTTCTTTTTTGACTTTCACAAACAATCGACTAGTCAAAATTTTCTTTTTTCTGTCTTATTAACTAGTTACTGTCAGTTGCAACTTTACACTGATTTTTATTTCTCTTTGTATCCACGTCGATTTAGAAAGCAAAAAAAAAAAACCTCTATCATTACAAAATCAAATTTGTACAAAAGTTTTTTCTCAATTTTTTTTTTTTTGCGTAGAATTCGAGAAATTTTTTTTGAAAAGAAAAATATTATCTTCTCTCTCTCTCTTAATTCTTGTTTTTTCAAATATTTAATTTGCCCCGGACTCGTTCTTTCGCTTTGCCAAGCAATTCGCGCTTGCCTTTTGTACCCTGACTAGATTTATTTTTCGGTTTCGCGCGATTTGAACGAGGCCGAGCTTTTTCCTAGCCTGAACACACCTCCGAATGTTCGTCCCAAGCGGCAGCCTGCGAAAAAGAAAAGAAACAAAAAAAATTATTAGTAAAAAAAAAATAAAGGAATTGAAAACAAAAAAAAATTTACAGTTTTAAAAGAAAACAAATATATAATAATTATAGTTAATTACAATCTTTATATATTATAATTATTTATAGTTATATTTAATTGAAATTATATAATTAAAATCCCCCAATCCCCCAATTGTAGATATAAATGTAGGTGTTTTTTTTTTATTACAGATTCCTGCACCGACATGTTACCGACATTCGAGAAAAAAATGGTTCTGTTCCGCGCTAAGTGAAACAAAAATTATCTTTTCTATTATAGTTATTCATTGATTTTTTTTTTTTTCATTTAGCACAGATCAGAACCACTTTTTTCCAATGTCGGTAACATGTCGATGCAGAAATCTCTATTTCAATCTCCGTTCACGGTGGTAATAAAAAAAAAAAAATTTTTTTTTTAATTACCTGGCACTCAGGACTGCAGTACCATTGATTTCCACATCCGGCGCACACATATTGTGCAGCACGTTCGTGACAACCTTGACAACGCGGAGAAATTTCTCTATCATCGCGACTACCACCAGAAATTCTCGATTCTCTCTCCTCCATTATTGCCGATTCATCCTCATCGTCCTGGGAAGAGAGAAATTCATTCATTCATTTTTTTTGTGTGTTTTTGAAAATAATAACCTCAAATTCGTTTGTTTTTTCGCCTTTTTTGTTTTTTTTTACATTGATTATTAAGTAAGAACATGAGCACATTGTTAACGTAAGTGATAAGAATGAGAGAGAAAAGGACAGAATTATCTTCTATCCTTTTTTGTCTCCGTTTACGATTTAAGGCCAAGTCCAAGTGAGGCAGCGCCATCTACATTGATACTAAAATTTTGGAAAATTTTCAACAGCCTTTTCTTGAAAACAAGATGGTAAAATGCTTTTTCCTTTATGGATAATTGATTATTGGCAAGATATACACCAGCTAAAACTTTTTTTGAGTTAAAATAATAAAAAAAATTTCATGTCAATAAATTAAATATGAGCACTTTTTTCACAAAAACTGTAACAGTACTTTCTCAGAAATTACAATCAAAAATGCAATTTCCATTTGGAAAATTAATAAACGCTAAAAAATACACGACCTAAGATTTACCAATCAGGAAAATAACAAAAATAAAATTTTATTAAATATTTAACATATTGATACTGATTTAATGATTGTGACAGCCCTTTGGTAGATTATGTATTTCAGGTGGTTAGCAACAGCGCCAATCTCCTCCTTTCGGCAAAACTGCGAAACGTCTGGTGACATATATAACCTGCCAAACGGCTGTCATAATGAGTAAAATATGTTATGTTAAAATACTTTTTTTTTTGTTATTTTCGTGATTGGTAAATCTTAGGTCGTGTATTTTTTAGCGTTTATTAATTTTCCAAATGGAAATTGCATTTTTGATTGTAATTTCTGAGAAAGTACTGTTACAGTTTTTGTGAAAAAAGTGCGCTCATATTTAATTTATTGACATGAAATTTTTTTTATTATTTTAACTCAAAAAAAGTTTTAGCTGGTGTATATCTTGCCAATAATCAATTATCCATAAAGGAAAAAGCATTTTACCTTCTTGTTTTCAAGAAAAGGCTGTTGAAAATTTTCCAAAATTTTAGTATCAATGTAGATGGCGCTGCCTCACTTGGACCTGGCCTTAAGGTCAATGCACAATAAGGCCTGAGCAGAATAGAAACGTAACCGTAATCGTAAACGGAAGAATGAGTTAGAGAAGGATAGTCATATATTTTGTTGTTCTTCTCTTACTAATTCTTCCGTTTGCGATTACGATTCCGGTTACGTTTCTATTGTGCTTAGGCCTCAATTTTCCATGTAGCTTGAATTTTGATTGGTTAAAGGCCTAAGTAGAATAGATTCTTGAACGGGAACGCAATCGTAAGAATGAGTAAGAGAAGGATAGCAAATATCTTTATTCTTTTCTCACTCATTCTTACGTTTCCGTTCAATCTATTCTGCTTTGGCCTTAATTTGTGGATAACTGCTAAAAATGAACCAATCATAATCCAAGTTACATGGGAAATAAAAAAAAAATTCGATTCTTTATTCTTTCTTTCTTTATTCGATTCGGACAGCTGATTGCTATGGTAACACACAGGAGTAAAAGAGACGGACAATTTCTCTGTCTCACTCACTCTTGTACGTTACCATAGCAATCCAATTGCAGAAATGTGATTCTACCTTTAATTCCAAAATAAATTGTGAATCATAAACTTACCACTTGCATCATATTATTTGAGTGCGATGGTACCAGAGCATTTACAACCGGCGTGATTGTAATTTCAGTTCGGCCCTAGGAAAAAGAAAAAAAATTTTTTTTTTACTAAATAACAAAGAAGGGTATAAATTTTGTTTTTTAATTTTTCAAAAAAATTCACCTTCGATGAGGATAGAAGTTCACTAATAGAAACGGGATTTGCCTCTTGATATGCTTGAATCATTCGTTGATTCGCTGTAGTATTAGAATGTGGTGTAACAGTTGTCATTGGTGTATTACGTTCACGTTCAGGTGCAGTCAATAATCTCGCTAATGTTGGCGAAAATGTTGTTGGTCTTGGTGATTGTGCTTTAGTCAATATCCCATGCAATAAAGATCCACTTGGCTGTGGTGGCGTTGTGGTTTGCGTTATTGTTGGCGATGGCGCCACAGGATGAAGCGTAACGTCCGGATAATTTTGAGGAGTTTTCACCGGTTCGCCTAGAGAGAGAAAAAAAAAAAATTTTCATTTTATTTCCTTTTTGTTTCAGATACAAGAGAGATTCAGCGACTTTAGCAGAGAGGAAAAAAAAATTTCTTCGCCAAACAAGGATAATCAAAAAATGTAATTGAGAAAACTAAATCCGAATGAAACAAAAATACAATTTTTTTTGAATCAGAGTAATCTCATAAACTACATTACCAATTTAATTAACGGCCCATAAAATGTTTTTTTAAGAAAACTAAATCGTAATGAAACAAAAAAAAATTGGAAAAAATTATACCTTGCTGTTGGCTAAGTTTTGCAAAATGCACCAGCACATCCTTGAAATTCGGTGAATTATTTCCCTCAATATTTGGATTACTTTTGCATGAATCGGTACTTGATGGTCTTGAATCGGTATTTTGATTATTTTCCATCATCGCGCCTCCTGCTCCTAAATTAACATTCACTGAATTTTTCATTCTACGTCCTCGTCTTGGAACATTTTCCGGATGTCGTAATCTATAGTCGGCAATAATTGATCTAACATCAACAGTTGGTCCCTGACGTCCTTCACCAATATGACGATTATCAACATCGCTTATTGTCTGCTGTTGTTGTTGCTGTTGTTGATGCTTTCTTGCATCAGCCGAAAGTCGATTAGACAAATTTTGTGCAGTTTGTTGCAGCGATTTTGAAACTTTATCAGAATTTTTATAAATATTCTGTACCATTGAATCATCATCATTGCGCGATGAATATTTTTCCCTTAAATTAACATTGCTTGTTAATTTTTTATCCCAATCGGAATCGTGTTGCGTTAAATTTATTGCTGGTAATAAATCATTTAATCTATCGTGTCCTTCCATAAAATTAACAACTTGTCGTCTCCTTTCAATTCTTAAATATGCTTCCTCTTTTAATTTTCTCATTGTTAAAACACGATTCCATTCCATTTCAGCGGCACGTGCTAATTCATCAAGTGCTTGTAATTCAACACGAAGACAATCGGCTCTTGTTGCTAATTCATCGGCTGATGCATTTTCATAGCCAGTTATTAATGATGATACCAATTGTTCACGTTGTTCAAGACAAATTCTTTTTGTATTTGTATTACCATTTGACGATGGTATTTCTTCAGTTGAACGTCGTTTTCTATTTGTTATACGTTCATCTGATTGACGAATTAATTTTGTATCATCATTTTGTTTTTTCATTAATTGTAAATCAGTCGTTGTTGTTGTTGTTGATGATTTTTTATTACTGAGATCAGTTATTATATCATTATGTGGTTCTTCTTTAACAGTTGTTGTATGAAGACGTTCAACAGCAGCGGCAATAACAGCTTCCTCAACTGGTAATGCTGCACCATTTTGTTGACTTTGTGGCACTTGAGGTGATTGCCTTGAAAAATCTTCATCCTCCTTTTTTTCCGTGGCTTTCATATTTTTTGTATTTGCAGCAACGCTCGAATTTTCGTCCATTGCATGCATTTTGTTTAAGCTGAAATAAAAAAAAAAAAAAATTCATTTTTAGGTTACAAAATTTTTTATTTCAATATTTAATTTTTTTTCTTTAATATATAATGCCATCAAAATTAAAATAATAATAATAATATTACATACGTTTTGTTAGTAATTTCAAATTTTCAATGGAATCAAGAAAATTATAAATAATTATTTTTTTTTAAATTATTATTTATATTTTCACGAATTGTCAATATTTATTTTTGGTGTTGTTGTGTTTCATAAAAAAAAATAACAAATGAAGTTCATGACAGAACTATGTATTATTATAAAAAATTGTTACAATTAATTTTTTTCAAATTTTGATAAATTATTTATTTATTAAATAAAATTTTCATTATAAATATTCATATTTTTCATTTTAAGTAACATAAATTTAACAAAATATAATAAAAAATAATAAAAAAACAAAATAATAATAAAAAGTAATAATAATAATAATAATAATAATAATAATAATAGAGTAAAACGTCCGAAATGTGAAACATTCGGTAATAAAATATTTTTTCCATGGCACAAAATGCGCTCGGTTTACAATAGAAGTAAATTAACAAAATAGAGAGGGAAATTGGTACTGCCAAAAGTAAAGCTACTGTTTACAATAAAAATTGGTACTGACAAAAGTAAAGCTACTGTATACAATAAAAAATAATTTATTGTTGTTAATAGTCCTTTTTCTTTTTTTTCAGGTGCGGAGGATTCAAGTTTCCGGTACACTGGTAAGTAAAAAAGGGTATTTTTTTAGAAAACTAAATCGTAAACAATAAAAGAAGAAAACAATAAATAAAAGTGAATTTTAACACTTTTTTTAACCAATTTTAAAAATTGATACTTCCAAAAGTAAAGCTACTGTTTACAATAGCAGTAAATATCCAAAATAGAGGGAGGTATTGGTACTTTTAAAAGTAAAGCTACTGTTTACAATAGAAATAAATTTAAAAACTGGGGGATATAGGTACTTCCAAAAGTAAAGCTACCGTTTACAATAGAATTTCCGAAAACGAAGGGGGATAGATACAAAACAGGGTGGGGAAATTGGTTTTTCCAAAATTAAAGCTACTGTTTACAATAAAAGTATCTAAAGACGCTTTAAAATAAATGATGCTACCTTACCTTGAATTTAATCATCTTTACAGTAAAACATCCAAAATGTAAATCTTTCGAAAATCAAATAATTTTTCCCAAAAAAAAAAAATGAATTTAAATACTAAAAACTAATTGTTTTTATCAAAAAAAAAAATATTGGTATTGGTACTTCCAAAAGTAAAGCTACCGTTTACAATAGCAGTAAATTTCCAAAATAGAGGGGGTATTGGTACTTCCAAAAGTAAAGCTACCGTTTGCAATAGCAGTAAATTTCCAAAATAGAGGGGGTATTGGTATTTCCAAAAGTAAAGCTACCGTTTACAATAGAATTTTCAGAACGGGGGTGGATTGGTACTTCCAAAAGTAAAGCTACTGTTTACAATAGCAGTAAATTTCCTAAAAAGGGGGGGGGGTATTGGTACTTTCAAAAGTAAAGCTACTATTTACAATAGAAATAAATTTAAAAACTGGGGGATATAGGTACTTCCAAAAGTAAAGCTACCGTTTACAATAGAATTTCCGAAAACGAAGGGGGATAGATACAAAACAGGGTGGGGAAATTGGTATTTCCAAAATTAAAGCTACTGTTTACAATAAAAGTATCTAAAGACGCTTTAAAATAAATGATGCTACCTTACCTTGAATTTAATCATCCTTACAGTAAAACATCCAAAATGTAAATCTTTCGAAAATCAAATAATTTTTCCCAAAAAAAAAATGAATTTAAATACTAAAAACTAATTGTTTTTATCAAAAAAATTGTCAATTCCTATACTATACGATAAAATTTTAGGTTCAAGTAAAAAAAATTTACGTTAAAGTAAATAAATATCCACGTCCATGTCAAGTATCTCTTTTAAAAAAAAAAAAAATTGTAATTCTAATAGTTTTTCAAAAAAAATATTCATTGTCACTGTTCTCCACAGTTAATTACGACCATGGCTCAAAATGTTCTCGGTAGGTGGCTGGCGCTCTAGAATAGAAGGTGATCGCAGTGGGGTTAAACAGAAACACACATTACACACAAACACATACTTAAAGAGCGCGCGCAAGCCTATATACTCAAGAGAAAAAAAAATCACACACACACACAGACATATAAGCGCACACCTCCGATTAGTCGCCTGGTGTTCAGTCCGTGAAGGGAGAGTTTCAGATCAGAAATGAGTGAGACAGAAAAAGAGAATGACAAAGTGAGATGAACTAGATGACGAGGGGGCAAGGAGATAGGTTCGTTGCACCCACTCGCGTTCACTGCACTTTATATATCGTTGATGATGTATATATATATATATATAGTTTATACCGGACTAGTCGCTCAAATTTATTAGTTTCTAACACTTGGCGTCCACTAATTCAATTCTCAACTAATCCTCAACGACTTTTTCCCCCTCTCCTAAACCACATTTCTTTGTTTCGTGTCTAATTCACATTTTTTATTTTACTTTAAAAAAAAATTTCCCCCCTTTTCTTAATTATTATTATTACTACTATTTATTATTATTATTACTATTAATATTATTATTATTACTACACTGAGAGACCTTTTGCACCGCATCACAACTACGTGTGTGACTGCAGCGCCACTATAGGTTTTGGTGCGCTGCATTCTAAATTTTGTATCGTGACTGCCCAAAAATGAAAATGAACCTTTCGGCCGTCAATTTTTTGGACAGCTACGCTCCAAAAATTGTACGGCTGCAGACCAAAAACGTAGTTTTATAGCTGACCGCTAGAATGCTCCGCAGCCGTCTGTCAAAAGTCTGTTACGGTGCAAAAGGTCTCTCAGTGTACTACTACTGTTATTATTTTTTGTTAATATTGTATTTTTTGAAATGTCTGAAAAAAAATGTTCACATTTTGGACGTTCTAGTCAATATTGTTGTTTGGTTGAAATTCATAAAGGTTTTCTTTTTTAGTTTTGTGTTAAAAACTATAGGTTCGCTAGTTGTCGCGCAATATTTTCGCTCATTAATTGCGTCATATATATATATATATACATAAATTTACATTATTTAAATGCCAAAAATTATATATAACCGTTATTACAATTATTGTGTGGAAAAATAATTTTTTTTCGAGTTAAATAAATACAAATAATCAAATGTAAGTATAGAATCAAAAAATTTTTTTAATCTCCTAAACAAATTCCAATATAGAATTTTGAAAATTTTTGACCTAACCTCAAAAAAAGATAATTTTATTCTTCTTTTTCCCCATGTGACGTTGTAGAAAAAAATTAACTAACTTTGAGGTTATGTCGTTATTTAAAAATTTTCAATCATTTCATTTGGATTTATTTAGAAATAGTTTGTTCTGTTTTGTAAAATATAGTGAAAGTAAAATTGAAAAAAAAATGTATATTAGTAAAAGACAAGCTTTTTATTTAACTTTCAATGATAATTGATTTATAATGAAATCTTCGAAATACTCATTTTCTATATATTAATTAGTAAAAAGAAAATTTTCTTTTTTTTTCTTCCAAATTCTCGAATATCTTTCAAAATGTCACCAACGTCAAGATTGTGAAAAAATAGAAAATATAATTTAGCTTAAAATAATAATAAATGGAAAATCATTCATTGCTTATCTTCCTTTCACTTTCTTTCTTCAAAAGTAAAAGCAAAATAGTGAAACTCTTTCTCCGTTATAAGAATAGTGTCGCGACTATGTTTTTTTTTATAGGAGTAGAAAAAAAAATAAAAAAGTAAACTTCATTTATCTTAAAAAGATTTTTTTTTCCCCCTTTCTATCAGACATGTATAGCAAATAGAAATCATTGATAAAGGAAAATCAAATAAATTTCATCTTAATTTGTAAACAATGGGAAAATTCATCGAAGAAATCGTACAAAATAGTAATAAAATACTTTGGAAAATAAAAAAAAAAATTTTTTTAAGAACTTTAGAACAAATTCTAATAAAAAATTTATTTTTTTTCAGATACCAACTTACAATTTGGATAAACATTGATTGGCGAATAAGGATAGAAAGACGGCCTCATCATTCAACTTCGTAGACATGAAGAATAAGTTGACATTAGAAAACCCAATCGTAAAATAAATCCATGTGGTGATTAAAAAAAATTTCACGCACAAATATTGAACTTTTTGAGGTCTTTGGGTATTTTAGACCCACGACCTCGTTGCACGTCACACACACGCATAAATATAATTTTTTTTTTTAATTTTTTTCGATTATTAATCGGGAAATTTTAAAAATTAACTATAGACAATTGTTTTTTATTTTTTTTGAAATCGCGAGCGGAGAATATCCGTCGAATGTAACACGCAGCTTAAACGCGAGTGCATTGGGTTTGCATAAGGAGGAGGAGGAGGTGGGGTTGTGCCTCCTCACGTCTACACAAGATTGTAGAGTTGATAATGTAGTGGGGAGGGAGAAAGAGAAGCTAGGGCTCCACTAGCTATTGGACTAGGTGAGTGGTGTTGCGAGGGAGGTTAGGTAAAGTTACGTTAGGTTGCCCGAGGACCTTGTCGCCGCGTCCTACTTCTTCGTGGCGCGCGAGGGCACACACGCCGCCGCGGCGACAAACGCGAAAAGTCAAATTCGAAAAATTTCTCTCACATTAAAAAGTAAAATGTGTGTAAAAAAAAAAAATTTTCAGAAAAGGAATTTTTTTTTTTACGACCTAATTGTGTTAAATTAGAGAACGCTCTTTCTCTCTCTCTCTCTCTCTCTCTCTCTCTCTCTCTCTCTCTGTCTTTCTTGGGTTCAATGACCCACGTTACGCGGTTCTGGTGCGATGAGTCTGATTTTGCTATGAACTTTGATCTAAAACGTATATAGTATATATATATATATATAAAAGAACATTCAGGATCGGATGTATATGCTTTTCGTATCATAGAAACTAATTTTTTACAATTCAGTT